TTGGTTGCAACACAGGCAATAAAACCTGAGTTGTATACTTAGAAAAAGGATATACAAGCTTTCAGTCAGTGAATATCAACACAGGACAAGGCATTACTAGGTAGCAGTGCAAGTTGCCATTACTTTACAAGACGACAAAATGGCATATACAGGGACAGAAGTGATGGGATCATAAGTCGTTGTGAGTTGTACTAAAAGGAGAGGGCAAGTCAAAGCAACTGACAAAGTATGATATGACACTTAGGAGGAGAATAACGTCTGCATATATCTGCACTATATCTCCTAGAGTTCAAAAGCATCGATTTTACTAGTCAGGAGGACCATCTTTTATTATTATTATTAACACCTGTGTTACCAAAACTCCTCATTATTTTTTAAAAATTCCTTGTGAGTTTACTGATATATTTGGTGGGCAATTACTGAGACGTAAGGTACCCTTAATGTATCTAATTTCTCATTTCAAATGTACTGTTATACCAGTAAGTTATTTTTCCCTGTTAACTCGACATTATCCCAGCCCTTGTTTAGCTAACGGAGGGGGTTTTAATTTAAACTATAAGTAGCGATTTGAGTGGCAAGGTTTCCTATGCCTACCAGTGTCTGAACTTCCATATTGTTTTCGTTTGGTCCTGCGAACCAATATCTCTGGTTCCCCTTTATTATTCATGAGAGAATTGGATTGCGTTCAGTACTGGATTCACGTGCGTAAAGAATCTATTTATGTGCTCCAATTGAAATGTTTTAAATGAATGATCGACATATCTAAACAGCTCAGTTTGTGCACTATGAAGTTGAGGGAACCTATTTATGTTTTTCTGTTTTCTCGTACTCTTTACTACTAATTTCACTACCTTTCTTTCATTGAGACAAATGTTAACTTATCATGAAAAATCATCATTTAATTACAAGAAAAGCAAAATGACGGTTGTAATCAAGACGGTTATCTTTTCAACGAAATTATTTGCATAGCTGTTCATTTGTGAATATAAATTTAAAAGAATGATAGCTTCAGGTAAACTTTTGATCAATGCTCAATATCAACTAGATTATGGAAATGGGTGCAAAAGGAGAGTGAAAACAGATTACACAGTAGTTGGAAGCAATTTGAAATAGGAAATCATGAAAGAAAAAAATATAAAACTTTATTTTCATGAGTTTATTGGATTTATCACGTTGCGCAAGTAAATTCCCAATCACGACATTTGATCAACGAAATAAAATGAGATTATACTTAAACAGAGTGCCTAACGTTTACTCGTATAATTAATAAAACGTATAATTTGTTTAAATGAAAAATGATCAGAAAATTCGATTGACTTTTACAATTCGAAAGCAAGACTCACAAGTCATCGTGTATTTACTAGTCTATCTTAAAAATATAATCGTCCCTAAATACTTACTTCTAAATGTTTATGTTTTAGCTAGAGCAGTAGCAGAACTAAGTCCTGTCTAAAAGAAGCAATTACTAAAGTAGTCAATAGATGGTATAATAACCATAGTTATACTAAACATCTAGTATATTGTACTTTTCCACCGCTCGGATGTTGTAAGATGAGATTACCCTTTACCGGAGTCCCTAAGTTTTACTCTTTCATGAAATCTATTTGCAGTCTAATCATTCAGAATCCTGTAAATTTAGGAAATTCAACGTTTTAGAATTCATCCAAAATGTCTTCTGAAGTTTGATCGAATCCTTCAAGAGAAGCACAGGAATACTTGCGCCTTGGTTTTGTACTTTTCAATATTCATCAACATGAAATATCTGCAATTGTATGGAAACTGACTTTCTCTTCTTTTTACCAACTCGCACCACTCAGTGTGGAAGTCAGATGCTGTACGATTAGGCTATTCAGGTCACAAATGATCCCCTGTAGAACTAGGTCATGGACATAAACAGGTCATCAGGGGGAGTAACTAATGTAACTGTCTATTGCACACTACTAAGCGATGATCGGAGGCAAAACCCAGTGTAATCTATTGGTGTCTCAGTTATCTTAGTGACCATTTCTTAGTTCTGAGATCGAATTCGATGCCTGCTGAGGACTAATGACTAAAAAACCTCGTCACTTACTCACTAATGGAAATTTTTTAAGGATTTTTCTGGGCAATCCATTTTCACCCACACGCCCTTTGAAATCTTTTATTTCAGGCCCTCCCCTGTGTTATATAATATCATGTCATCTTTCTAGATCTGTTTTCAGCATCCTTTTGACGTAAACATTTGATTACAAACTCACTGAAAATGTTAATTTTCTTCACTGCAATGGCTTTTGCTTCTCATATGAATCAATTTCAGCTTGTTGGCAATGAGGAGTTTATGGTTAAGCTTTCTTATAACACTATGTACTTTTGTGCTTACTTCTATATATTCATAGATATATGCAGCTAGATAAGGCTCTCCTTATATCATCATGTTCTTTCAGATTATTCTTTAGAGTATATGCTAATCGGTTGCTGTATGATAAATGATGTAGCTATTGTGTACTGTTTATTAATTGCTGATCAAAATCTATTGATAAGGTTAACAAAATGGTCACCGATCCAGATGACGTAACATTGCGACGCACCGTATATCAGTGCTAAGTGTTAGGAATCAGTTGATAGGTAGCTGTGCCTAATCTAAGTTTGATACTTGTTGGCATTTGTCATTAAGATGTATCTGAAATCTTGAGAAAACTCTTTTTTTGAGATACGAACCGTCACCAATCAATGATGAAGTCAAATATTTTACCATCAAACTATTCAGTCCAGAGTTAAGAAAGTAAGTAAGCAAATCACCACAGTATTAACGCGATAGTAATAGTTTTTGGTAGTGTTTGCTATTTGTCCAGATACAGTAGCTTTTTCATCGAACGCTATCAACGTTGATTTTCATATAATTATTGTTTAATCAATAGTTGGGATTTTTTAAAAAGTACACCCGTAATAGCAGCTGTCAAACAGTTTCCATTTGCTAAGCCTTAAATTATCTTTAAGAAAACCTTAAGGGTCTTGGTTCTAACACTTTCAGATACCCCCCTCCCCGTAAGGTATTGACCGACAATTATCCATACAACATAGTCTCAAAATGAGACTAATCATTACTATCTGCATAAGCCACTTTCGAATTAAATATCTTATCATCGATACTAATGTTCTGAAGTCCAAACCATCTAATGTTTTAGAAAAGGGAAGTTATGATGCTACCGAAACCCACGTGGTCACTCACAAGCTATTCACATGTGATACGCTCGTACTGTTTGTAAAAATGACTAAATATAACAGCTTATTTTTATTGATACTTTCCACTTTTTAACGTATACTTTATAAAGGTCACTCCACTGTATCTGATGATGCTTGAGATTTCATTGTTTATTGTTCTGATAACTTCATGTTGGTATATGTGTATGTCTCCACAAATTTGTTCACATATATTTTTCTAGGTAACACCACTTATATGTCATCTCATTCTGTAATGATCATTCACTGAAATGAAATTTAATAAAATTCATTTATAGATGGTTGTCTGTTCTGACTGATGTGTTTAGTGTATTACTGTTCTAATATTTCAAAGTAGTTTACATCACAGACTGATGTCGGTTAAATAATAACTACTGAAAAACATTCTTGTTTCTGCAGTGAGGTTTTAATTAACATGAAAGTAATTTTCTACCGCAAGGAACGTTTGCTAGATAGTAGTGTACATGGGGGACTGACCGGCTTCGAAGACATAAATCTGCCTAAATTTTAATTGAGAAGATTAGCCTCAAGAAGCTATGATATTTGAAACTAGTTACTTCTTAACATGAGTATGCCTTGAATTCCCGGTGACAAATATTCCGAGCAAGTATCTTAAAGGTAAGTAATCGAGTATGAATATACAAGACCACAATGCTCATCCATCTTATGGTTAGGTAAAATTGCAAACTCCTGATGTGTCATTAGGGTCAATAATCTTTAATTAACTTCCTGTGTCATAAACTGGCCTAGCAAAGGGCAGCGAAGCTAGAACCAGTAAAGGCAGAATTGTAGCGTCAGACATTTCTCCAAAATCGATAGACTAGGGTTCGACGAGATTCAAGATTGGTGCTGACCTTCATAATTTTATCGGACTCGCTAAGCTGAGGCCACACGGTCAAGCATCCTGGTCATTCGGCACGCTGTCGTGTTACGTTGCACTGCTCGTAACTGACCCTCTAGCCAACTATTTGGAACGTATCGGTATCTTGGCACGACCTCGTAAATATACTATTCCATCTGACTACGCTATTGTGTTCTTCATTGGTTTCGTGTTCGTGGGTACATAACAAGTACGAATAGTTAGTAATTGGCCTCTGCGTCTGTTAAGTTCGCACCAGGACAATTCCTAAAGAATCATTCAGCAAAAGTTTAAAAGATGCCTAGGAATTTACACAAAACGTGATTCAATAAAATATATTCTACAATGGCTTCCTTAAATACATCATCTGTTGGAAGAAACGATATGTATTATTTACTAGTATTCAGAAGTTACCCCATTACCTAAAATATTTAGAAAATCACTGAGTCTATGTCTTGAAGATGTTCAGTTCACTTATAAATTACATCTTCAGATCAACAGAATTGCAATTGATAAAGCTCTAGGACCAGTTCTTGAGAACATATTTTTATTTAGTACACCTAACGCCAACTAAACCAGCCACCATAATCAATTGGACAAAAATTTATCATAAACTTTTCGGTGATACCTTTGTTATGTGCAGTAATATCAATCATCCAGAAGTTGGTGCAAAACACTAAAAGTTCACTTTACAGCAGCATAAAAAGTCAAGAACACTTTGAAATTTCTAGGTCTGGATTTCACGTTAAAAAATCCATGAAACTTGCCATAGATATGTCAATCACAAGTAAGCCTGATGTGGGGCGCACTTACACTTCTTAGTAGGTTTAAAGAGTAGATTTCTCAAGATATTGTGTTAATTGGCTCGGAAACTCTATTCAGCAGAAAAACTAGGTAAAACATCTCGAGAAGAATGGCTATTCTGAAAAATTTATTTAAAGTGTGGAGTGAAACTTCATAACAATGAGAAGATGACAAAATTTCATGAGGGACTGAAAGACAAATTCAGAAATATGCCCTGTGTGATTCAATCAATCCCATCGTCTTAGGTTAAATACCCAGCTGTGGAGCAAATTATTACACTCTGTATCTTCTTCGTAGCCCTGAACATTCGTTTACTAACTTCCAACAATTCATTCTCTCTTGTTTCATACCTTTTTGCCTGCTTTTATGTTATTCCATTTCTATCCACCTTTTCTTTGCCTGTTGATATGAAGTGTGGCAAATTGAACTAATGCAGTTTTGTCGTAGGTTTTATGTTGATTTTTGTATCTGTCTAAACGACGGCAAGAAAGATAGTAAATGAAGTAGAATTACGATCTGAAATTCCAGTTCATTTCCACTTGTGAACTGTTTGGAACCAAATGTTCTGTTCAGCAAAAGAATAGCAATTCGTTTATTCTAAAGGTATTGTCAAGTAGTCAAAATCCACAAATGAAAAATGCACACCTCTTCGATAAAGGGTATTAACTAAATTTTACTGAATTGTACATCTACCTATTTACAGAGTAACCAACCGAAAACTTCTGAGGAAAAAGTGTTGCTCATTCTAAAGTGAGGAATTCGAAGATAATTTTGAAAGACGTTTCAGTTTCTGCCTCTGATTACAGAACCACACACGTATCACACTTTTTGTCATGTTTAGTTGAGAAGCTAATTGGTTCATTTGTTCAACTGTTGGTCTACAGTTTACCGTACGAAAATATGATTCGAGGAGATATTTGTCAGACCCAGTAATAGATGTACGTTTACGTCGTCGATTGTACGTAGACTGCGTTGATGAAGCATGCTTTGATGTTGTTGGTAGTAAAGAGGTTGATGAGAATAATGAACTGGTTAATGAATCTGTTTGGTTTAAAGATTTATCGTTGAGGAAATTTCGAGATTCTTGGCTTGAAGAATGTTGCGAATTCAGTGATAAATTTTCCTCCATTTGTTTTAACCATATCTCTAGGACAGGTTTCAAAGCAAACATATTATTATGTGACAGTGACAATGATTCAAATCGACATATTGTTGACTGGGATAAACAACCGAAACTGCATACATTTAAATCACCCAACGCATGTCCTACTTCAGCTTGTGTTATGCCTAATTTGATTCGTTTCTGTTTAAAAATTTCGACAAATTTATACAGATTATCCAGTTCGTCATATGGCCGGTCTATAGTATCAGTGGTTGTTGTTGTGTTGGAATTTGAATAAATGATGGGATTACCAGAGGAAAAAGTAGACCATCCATCCCATACGGGTGATGATATATTGTACTGATTCTGGTAATGAGGATCATGAATAAATGAGGTAAGATTCGATACTTGATCAAGTGAATAATTCGATGAAGTATTTAATGGTCCAGACTGAACAAGTTTATCAATTTTAGTGGTACAACATGTAGTGAACGAATCACTTCCAATTTCGTTTACTTCTGACATATTTGAATTCAGTAGATTAAAGTAAGGAGAGTATTTTTCAGTTTCCAAATTAGAATCATGTATAATCATATCATTGGAATTATGTTGTAATGTTACATTATGGTTCATAGAATTACTTTCCACGATAGAATGAGATGAATTATTATTATTATCTGAAAACTTTGATCGATTAGTACAGATAAATGAATCTAAATTCATTTTGTGTATATTATTTAAAACCGTTCGAAGGTTTTTTCAAGCTCATGATTTGACTACTTGCAAATGATGGCGACTTGTCAATGGATTGCTGCATAAAGCAATTAATTGGATAGTTTTTTGAAAATAAAGTGTAGTGAAGTATTGTAGCTGCATTAGCAAGGAGATTTATTTTGAAAAGAGATTGAAGAAATGACCAGTTATCAGGATTAGTAACAACTATAAAGTATCTAACACTCACTGTAAACCTAAAGTAACTTTTCGTTAAATGATATCAGCCTAGTTACTACTAAATGAACATTATGATAGTTCTTCACCAATCTTTGAATAGTTTCATTTTAACAAACATTCAAAGCAGGGACGAGAAGTTGATCAATGAATTGATTTCTTTAGTTGTTTGGTTAAGCCTTATTAAACAAATGGCGAGAAATTACTCTAAATAATTTTATTGCCTTCGATTTATAAGATATCTTTGGTAGGTATCTGCACAGACTAAGTAAAATAAGCTGAATATTAATTGAGGGCGTGCCATGCGAGCAACCGCACAGAATTCACGACGTAATCAGTTAAGTAACAAAAGGTGGACTGATATATGTTCTTCATTGGTCTCGCGTTCGTGGGTGGGTGTTCGCCGAGTGGACAAAAATTTCCACCACACTTCGTATATATATATATATATATATATATATATATATATATATATATATATATATATATATATATATATATATATATAACCAGTTCACTAGTTACCAGCCTGTCCTAAGCCCACGTAAACAGGGAAGGTTGGGCATAGGGCTAGCAACCCCACCCCGAAAAACCAATCCAATAGCTAAATAAACTTCTAAGCACAAACGAAATATAAAAAATAAAAATAAACTTATTCCTCACTGGAATCGGAGAGGCGAAATGACACCAGTTGGTGAAAGCCTGTCTTCGGGAAGCCAATTGGCCGAGCCGATGTGTCTTCTCTCCCTCGATGAAAGCGAAAGTAAACGTGGGGACATGGATTGTTCGCACCATGTTTGAACCCAGCAAGATAGCCCAGATTGCAAGCGAGGTGAAGAGGTATCACATTGAAGTGCTTGGAATTTGAGAAAGCAGATGGAATGGGAGTGGGCTCTCCAAACTGTCAACTGGAGAGGAGAGTCAATAATCTACTCCGATATTGTCACCCAGACGACAACCACAAACACACTGAGTTTTCGAGTGGCTATAATTATGTTCCCAACAGCATCGAAGGCTGTCATGAAGTGGGAACCAGTCTCCTCCAGGATCAGGATCATCACAGCAAGATTCAACTCAAAAGGAAGGAAAGTCACAATCATACAATGCTACACTACTCACCTACAAATAATGCAGATGAAGAGAAGAAGGAGGAATTCTACTGACAACCGCAATCAACACTGGACAAGACCACACTGCAGTTGGCGATATCAAAATTCTAATGGGTGGGGCGACATGAATGCCAAACTGGGAGCAGACAACACAGGAAGAGAAATAACCATGGATCGAGAAGCATTCGGTGAAATGAATGAGAACAGAATTCTGTGCATTCAACGATCTGGTGATTGGAGGCAATGTGTTCAAGCACAAGGATATCCACAAAGCAACATGGATTTCACCAGACACCACGACACACTAAAAACCAGATCGACTTTATCTCAATGTGAAGAAAATGGAGACGCAGTCTACTTAACACAAGGTCAAGAAGAGGAGCAGATGTAGGTTCAGACCACTCACTGTCTAGTGCAAGGAACCTTCAAAATCAAGTTAAAAGCCTTCAAGGAAGCTGGTGATAGACCACAGTTCAGGTACAACACTCGGAAACTGAACTGAAGGATGAAACTACAAAGGAGATCTTCACGTCGGCCAGCCATCAAGACAAAATGGGAGATATCGAGGAACATCCCCAAAGAAACCTGTGTGGAAGAACACTGGAAGTCTTTGAAAGCTATGTGGAAAGAAACCTGCACAACCGTATTAGGAAGGAAGAAGAAAGAAGACAAGGATTGAATCTCGACGGATACCTGGAAGCTGATAGAGCAGGGAGAGGAGGATGGTGATGGTGAAGCAGAAGATAAACCAGTGCAAGGATGCTCAACGACAAGAGGAACTGAGCACAATGCATAAAACACTACACTGGACAAAGAAGTGAAGAAGAGTGCACGCAAAGACAAATTACACTTCTATGAAACACTGGCAAGTGAAGCAGAACAGGCTGCATGTAAGAGGGACACAGACCTGACAACATTGTATCAAATAACCAGGTTGCTATCTGGGAGGAGATCAACGCAAACGAAACCAATGAAAGATGATGACGGAAATTTAATTAGGAAAGAAGAGAAACAAAGGAAACAATGGGCTGACCACTTCAAGAAGCTCTTGAATCGACCACCACCAGCACCAACAACTCGTCCACAAATACCACCTGCAGCCAGCTGCTGAACTACAAGTCAACATAAATCCTCCAACAAAAATGGAAGTCCTGAGCTCCATAAACCTACTGAAATGAGGGAAAGCAGCAGGACCAGACGGGATACCGCCAGAACCACTGAGAACAGACGCAGAGACAACAGCAGACATGCTCACACCACTATTGTAGAAGGTGTGGAAGGAAGAGAAGGTACCTGGCTAGTGATTGGAAGAAGGGTTACCTTGTCAAACTGCCGAAGAAGGGAGACCTCAGTGTTTGCAAGAACTGGCGCGGAATCACTCTCCTGTCCACCCAAAGCAAGCAAAATATTAAGCCACATCATCCTGGAGAGGCTTAAAGATGCACTGGATTCAAAACTACGACCGGAACAGGCTGGCTGGTTTCAGGAAGTACGAATCATGTGCAGACCAAATTGCTACGCTTCGCATCATCATAGAACAGAGCACAGAATGGCAGTCAACTGGATCTCTACCTCAACTTCATCGACTTTGAGAAGGCTTTTGACAGCGTCGACCGAGAAGTAATTTGGAAACTGCTTCATTACTACGGAGTACCGCAAACCTTTATCAATCTCATTCAATAACTATATGAAGACGCCACATGACAAGTAATTCACAATGGGAAGCTCAGTGATGATTTTGAAGTTAAGTGAAGACAGGAGTGAAACAAGGTTGTCTACTATCTCCCATGATATTCCTGATTGCGGTCGACTGGATCATGCAGCAAACAGTAGGCAGCGAGAAGAGGGGGATACGCTGGCTGGACTGCGGAAAAGAACCTAGAAGACTTGGATTTCGCCAGCGATGACTTGTGCCTGATGTCACATAAACTTGAAGATCTACAGGTGAAAACTAACAAGTTGATAGAAGAGGCAGCGAAGACGGGACTTTAGGTGAATATAGAGAAGACAGAAGTGATGAAGATACCTCACCACCACCACCACCAACAACAACAACAAACTCCAGTCACCATCAACGGGAGAAACTTAAAGGAAGTAACCTCCTTCACTTATCTAGGAAGCACTGTTTCAACTACAGGCGGCACAGACACAGACAAGGATGTCAAAGTCAGAATCGGAAAAGACAGCAAGACAGGCGTTCATTAGCCTGAAACCAGTGTGGAGATCTTCTGTACTCAGCATATGGAACAAGGTCCGGATTTTCAACACAAACGCAGTCAAGTCAGTGCCTCTGTATGGTTCAGAGACTTGGCGCGTCACGAAAAAGGGATTTCCAATAAACTACAGACATTCATCAACAACTGCTTACGCTGGCTCGTTACTGAAGATCAGGTGGCCAGAAAGAATGAGCAACAAGGAGCTCTGGGAACGAACCAACCAAGAAGCTATCACCCAACAAATATGCTGAAGGAAGTGGAGATGGATTGGATTGGGCATACACTGAGAAGGCCGACTGGGGACATCACGCGTCAGGCCAGTAGCTCGAGTGGAATCCCCATGGGAAGCGACGAGTTGGACGTCCGAGCGTGACATGGAGGAGATCGTGTGAGGAGGAAATGAGAGCTTGTGGGCTGTCGTGGAGCCAGGTTTAAAAGATTTCAGAGAACAGAGTTCACTGGAGACGTGCTACTGAAGCCCTGTGTTCCACTAGGAACCCAAGGGACTAATAATAATTATATATATATATATATATATATATATATATATATATATATATATATACATTGATGTGGTTCGATTTATCAGTCTCATGATAACAGGTATTAACTGAGGATTATTTATTTACGGTTTATACGGTCATCAAGAGATCCGAATACCTCTTTTTCACTCTTGACATTCATCGGTGGTACATGAAGAGATGCACGTACAAACTAGTGCCACATATAACCCACCGGAACAGCGAATTCAAGTCTTCACACTTGAGGGGAATAAAAAGACAAACATGATGGCCATAATATTGATAAAAATGACTTTAGAAATGGCAAGTATCTAGGAGAAAGGAATTCAGAACTTTGGTCGAATTTTACAGCCATATCATCTAGTTGGTAGTCGGTTATTTTAGAAGTTGTGTTTCTCAACTGGGTAGTTTGTTCTGTGTGCTTGATTCAGCTTTCGTGGTTGTTTTTTGCATCACAAAGGTATATATACACCTGACCTCAGAATCGTTGCATGGAATTTGACGAACCAAATCTTTTTGCTTAATAGGCTGTATCAAATTTCCTAAGTAGTTAAACTTGCTTCTTAGCAAGTTAACAGGTTCAAATGTCGCCATCAGTTCAATCCCATTAAAAATCCTGCGTAAACGTTTTGAGATGATTGATACGGTTACAGATAATGTGCATATTGATAACAACGAAAATAAATAAGAGGCAGCAATGCAGAATCTCCTCAGCATTACTATGTATAAAACAGGAAACTCAGAAAGCTCACATAGAGTTCTCAACCAGATGGTGCCAAGGTCAGAGTTAGCCACAAGGACTACCTAGACTTACAAAGCATAAAAGCTTGATCTAATCTAAAATGGTCGACATTAGTGAGATGAGAACTCAGAAAAAAGTTCAGCTTTGGCAAGGCACATAATTGCATATAGTTACACAATAGGAGGGGACAAAGTGACAGTCCCACAAACTAACCAGGTCAGATTGAGAGTGTAAATGATAACTGAAATTTTGTTTATAGAATCGACGTTGAGCACATGCACTGAGAATGACTTTGAACGTGTTACAGGCATCTGGAACTTTCTTCTACTCCTATCACAAATGAAGGAGAAGGAATCGAACTACAAAAATAAGATGTGTGAAATTTGTGTAGTTGGCTTTGTTGTGGCCGTGAACTATAAATTTGTTTGAAATATCATTCAGTCAATGATACTGTTTCGTTGCTTGAAACATCGATCTAACAAGATGACATGAAATTATGTACTATTACATGATCCAAATTTTAAGCTAGTGTTGTGAGAAAAACTGTCGAAGGAAAGGGGGTTGACTGGACGGAATCTACTTGTGAACGTGTCATTTGAACTCGTGTATCTTACAGAGAATTGGTTGGATATCCACTCTATGTTGATGTGAAGACACTATGGTGAAAGGGAAGAGGTCAGTAATGTGTTTACTTCTATTTGAAACCAATGAGGCGTACATACCTGTTCGATGATTCCCCAATCCCCCTTAAGTCATGGCTGCTCTTCTTGAGCCTAGGTAAGCACATTCACACTCATAAGTGAGCAAATGCATTCAGCTCAAGATTCCATGATGAAGGGAAATTCACATCCTGGATTCTACTGTTACATATTTCTTAATATACTCAAGAGGTTGCTGAGTTTTAAGTGATCAGTCCGCAAAAGGATTAACGTTTATCAAGCCCTATACATTATCAACTTCTTTTTAAGCTTTTAAAGTGAAAATTTACTTACTTTTGAAATCATTTTACTACTCACCATCCGGTTATGAAGTGAAACTGAAATTTCGTTATTTATTTTATATAGGTGACGAAAGAATTTTTTTAGCCAATCATATTGCTAGACAATTTGGAGAGGCAATATGACTATTTAGAGGCTGTCGTTCTTTACTAACCAATTAATTTATGTAGCATTAAAGAAATCAGTATTTCTCAGTATGCAGGAGATATCCATCACGACATGAATGAAGATCTTTTTTCACGATTTGATGCTTCTGTTTCATATGAAGGAAATCAGTGGGTTTCTGCGTTATTCTGTGAACCTTGCTAAAGCGAATGCGAAGTTTCGTTTGCTAACTTACTGTGTAAACAATCAAAAGTATCCAATGTGTTATTAAAAAGTACTGCGTAAAAGTCATACTTATCCGAAAGCTAAATATCTCAAAAGTCCCATAAGGAACTTTACTGACTCCCTCCTTTCGTGCTTTCTACAGCATGAATGTGAAATACCATAAATATCTTCTATGCTGTACGAATTGTCACCACTTATTCATCACTTATTCACTGAATACGTCACCACAAGTACCAACAAGCAAACAGAATTAGCACAATATTTCCCACTCAGAAATCTTAAGTTCATTGACGTTCAGCACAAATTTCCTTCTGATTTAAGGGCATTTATACTTATTCATTCTTCGACAACCTTGTTAAATTTACAGTTGAAAGCCTCATCTATCGGCCAAAATTTCGCCGAGTGGACAAAAATTTCCACCACACTTCGTATACATGTGCAGTTTGAAAATGTAACCAGTTAAACTCGCGACCTCCTGATTTCTCAACTCAGGTTTCAACATTTCAGCCCGATCATTCTTAGTTGCTGTTGTCAATACCTCAACACGGAATCAAAGGTCCGCATCTTTTTTACAAAAGAGCACAGAGAACAAATTAAACAGTTAAGATGTAGCGAACACAAGGATACAGGTTTGGTTTCATATTAGATTAGGATTTTCATTCTACTACAATGCCCAAGTTTTACACTTATATTAATGCATGTGTGGTTGTGATGAAGTGAAGTGTCTTCGTAAACAAAATTTCGATTTTGCTTTCAAACGGCGATAACTCCTCTAGACCTGTGAGCAGTAAAAATGAGACGGAACGAGATGAAAAAAGTTACTGACGTCAAAGATGACTTAAATACCATCAACTAAAAAACGAATGTCTCTGCAAATGCATCATACCAACAACATTGCGTCTCTATAGGTTGTATAAAGTTCACAAAGCCGGCCTACCTTTTCATCGGATCCTTGGCATATGTGTTTCCTTATATGATACAGCTGCATAAATTACTAGAGCGTGTAAGAAGACGAATTTCTATCTGGTCTCTGAATGAAGTCAGTGAATTTACTGACTATATATAAGATATCAGCGTATTTCGTCAGCATATGATACTACATAGTGTGGAGTTCCTTCCCATCGACATTGCACTTACTGGAGCCATTTTGTTCCTATGCAGATACATCGAAGGCTTCCTGCATTTCATTCCTGTAATAAGTTTGAACAAAATAAACACGAAAACGTTTGCAGAATAAAATGTACACATTTCATTTCACGGTTTCTCATTAGCTGCAAATAATTTACAGCAAGCGCAATAAACAAATAAATATCTGACACAATTCTTCCGCTACCGGTAAACGAATCAAGACAACTGTTGCTTATTTGCACAAAGGGCGCATGTTTCCGTCTAACAACCAAATGTGCCGATAAATTGACGGGATAGCAAGCGGTTTGTCACTAGGACCAGTCTTCACTGACATCTTCATGGGTTATCTAGAACGAACATATCTGAAAACAAAGACTGAGAAGACTAAACACAGCTGCAGGTTTGTTGATGACATTTTTATTATATTCAGTAACTTGAAAAATGCATCTTAGTTGTTTGAAAACTTGTCAGTTTCATGATAATGTCAGGTTTATCACAGACTGTGGGCATGATAATCAATTTAGCTATTTAGATTTCTGTATAAAAGGAAGAAGCGAGGGTGCATTTTACAAAACTATTTGCAGAAAAAATATATGGACGGGTTGTTACTTAAACTATCATACTTCATCATAAAATATGAAAAACCGGAGAAAGTAAAATCTAAACTTGAGCCTGTTGAGAAGAAAGTGGTCTTCATCTACCTTACACTGAAAGATGAAGAGGTTTCAGCATGCATTAAAAAAGATCAAATGAACTTCGAAAAATAACCTCCCCTGCAGCTATCTTGGTCTGTTTTTACAGCATAAACTGTTCATGAAATCAGTCCAAAATATGTAATTGCCCTACTCATGCTATCTCCGAATGAATTCCCATATTTACGTGTACTTATGAAGGGAATTACATGGGAAGGATTTAGAAGAGGATATCTAATGGGTTTTCTAAATATGTCCCTAAATGTTTAGGCCTCAAAGGACAAGAAGTTTTCAATGGATTTAGGACAAGCAGTTGAGGTCGACCACACCTTCAAAATCTTTGGTATACGGCGAATATTCAGTCTACTTTGCTTTGCAGAAGCAATGTCAACTAAATAGTCACAGCTTAACCTTTTGTATAGGAAGAGAGTGCGATTAACAGCACATTACTCTGTCAACTATGCTTTGATTTTGCTACTTCGTCTTTATTTTTTGATATTTCCCTTATAATATTTACTTACTGATATAAATTCATTCTCAGATTTTCAAGGCATGGTAGTGTTACGTAACTCCTTTCTTTCTTCCTGACTCCATTACTTTTGATAATTTAATACACGTTTGTAAACCATCATTTCGATTATTTTACTGATTAGGTATTTCCTTGCTCTGTCAGCGTAATGTAAATTTTTAAATTGACCTTTGTCTGGAACACTTAAAGCATGTCAAATGTTGTAGTTAGCTTGGTGGTGGCTAGCAGTGGAGTTTAGAACGCTAGCTTCTAGTTTTTGACTAGCCGGATAGATGCACAAGCACCTCAGTGAGTGGCGTTGTTTTTATAGAGACTTGAACGCTGGAAACACTGCTTCAAGTGCCACGGCACTATCCATCAGGCTTCTGACGCACAAGAACCAACTCACATGCCATAGGTAGTAGTTATTGTTATTTGTTGACAGTGGAAATTTCCCATTGTTATACTAGTTTGAACAGGAGCTGCCTGTGGTGTCTTAGTGGGGAAGATACTACACACTTGGGTATAGGTACGTCGGATGAAAAGTCACAAATAGGACGAAACGCGCTTCGTGGGCTCCACTCCTAGCCACCATTAAGCCAACTCTGACCTAATGGACAATCAGGCAATAATGGGGCATCCATAAAGATGTGCATATCCAACAGCGGTCGATCAATTCGATCCAGAATGGCAACGGAAAATTACAGGCACCGATAGGTAACATGCCAAATATTCATCTGTTAGTGATGGTGAACCCTATGATTTTAGGCTGTTGCGAAGCTATAGAATAAGATGTGCGCTAATATCTTAATACTTGTTGTTTTTTTGATGTAGGGATCTGTTCGAACACCGACCTTCTACCTTAAATAATAGTTGCTTATGTGCAACTTTAGCATCCAGTTCATATTCATAGACATGACTCATAGACAGAAAGATGAAATTACCATGGGATCTCAATTAGGTTCACTACCAGGAGACTGTTTGATTACCAATTTAGAGAAGATACCCTTGAAATTAATGACTGATGTTTTCCAGCTGTGTAAAGAGTAAGTGGATGATACTTTTATTGTCTGTAGCTGCTACTGAGCATTTGGATTCACAACGGGTTTTCACTACTCTTTATGGATAAAAATAAAACAAAAACCTCGCACACAGAACCTAACGTATGTGCCTAAAAAGTTGCTTACAAGAAAATACATTTCCAAGGGGATTCTGCCTTTGTCGCTTTAAAAAGAGCAGCATCTAACTTTAGTAAAAGGACATTCTTTGCATCAACACTAAAACTGGAATTCTCCTATTAAATTTTTTCTAAAAAATAAAAGACAAACCTTAACATCAAACCACTTCTGTGTGAACATCGCGACTTACCAAGATCGTCTGGTTAACTAGCTCACTAGCTACTAGCTGGTCCTAAGTCTGGATAAAGAGGGAAGGTTGGGCATAGGGCTAGCAACCCCACCCCGAAAAACCAATCCAATAGCTAAATAAACTTCTAAGCACAAACGAAATATAAAAAATAAAAATAAACTTATTCCTCACTGGAATCGGAGAGGCGAAATGACACCAGTTGGTGAAAGCCTGTCTTCGGGAAGCCAATTGGCCGAGCCGATGTGTCTTCTCTCCCTCGATGAAAGCGAAAGTAAACGTGGGGACATGGATTGTTCGCACCATGTTTGAACCCAGCAAGATAGCCCAGATTGCAAGCGAGGTGAAGAGGTATCACATTGAAGTGCTTGGAATTTGAGAAAGCAGATGGAATGGGAGTGGGCTCTCCAAACTGTCAACTGGAGAGGAGAGTCAATAATCTACTCCGATATTGTCACCCAGACGACAACCACAAACACACTGAGTTTTCGAGTGGCTATAATTATGTTCCCAACAGCATCGAAGGCTGTCATGAAGTGGGAACCAGTCTCCTCCAGGATCAGGATCATCACAGCAAGATTCAACTCAAAAGGAAGGAAAGTCACAATCATACAATGCTACACTACTCACCTACAAATAATGCAGATGAAGAGAAGAAGGAGGAATTCTACTGACAACCGCAATCAACACTGGACAAGACCACACTGCAGTTGGCGATATCAAAATTCTAATGGGTGGGGCGACATGAATGCCAAACTGGGAGCAGACAACACAGGAAGAGAAATAACCATGGATCGAGAAGCATTCGGTGAAATGAATGAGAACAGAATTCTGTGCATTCAACGATCTGGTGATTGGAGGCAATGTGTTCAAGCACAAGGATATCCACAAAACGACATGGATTTCACTAGACACCACGACACACTAAAAACCAGATCGACTTTATCTCAATGTGAAGAAAATGGAGACGCAGTCTACTGGACACACGGTCAGATACTGAAGGAGAGCAGATGTAGGTCCAGACCCCCATCTAGTGCGAGAAACCTATCAAATAAAGTTGAAAGCCTTCAAATACACCATCGGTTGTCTATAGTCAATATGAATATCCTTGATTGTTTCTAAAAATCAGGTTGATAGAGTGGTGAAAAGATTCAACCAGATGTTTCACAGACTACATGCTAGAGTCCCTGGAACTGGAACAACTGGTTGTAGAAGGGTGTTTGTGTATGTTGGGTATACCGATCCACCACAAACTAAAGACATACTGTAGTACATCAACCTTACGGAGAAAAGAAAACAAGTAGTGAAGTGTCACAGTACATCTTTACTCATATCAGTAAATACAGACAATTAAGGAGATGAATTAGTCCGGGAAGGTGAGGAAGCCTTAGACAGAGGATATATGATTCATCAAAATGTAAGATTTGATTATTATGGTGATTATTATTATTCGTCAAAACTTGGACAGAGTAACTACGAGACATAGTATATCTAAAAACTGTTGTATTTGAGTCATACATTTCTAGCAATCAGATCACGGATTTACTGGTCAAAGCGAACTATAGTAGAAGAGATAAAAGTAGGAGGACAAATTCGACAACACGGAACAAAGTGATAGAAAAAGGTAATGAAAGAAGCATAATAAATTTCGAAACCAACCTTAGTAATAGGATGAGAATCATCAGGGTAGGTTAAGCGTGGGGAAAAATATTTTTGAGTACACAAATAAGGCTTAAATTTGTGTATGGTTGTCGTTACACCAAACTTATTTCGATTAGAAACTGTCCAACAACCAACTCTAGTCCGAAGAGAGTCACTGACTTATATTTTCGGTTTATCGGCAGCCTAAATCTTCAAAATAAGGAAAGAAGGTGGGACACAGAAATATTGATAGGCATTAGTGGTAAGTAACGTTATATATTACTTAAAAGTAGCTAAAGTCGAATTGTCAAATGTATTCATCTCAGCTAAGAGAAATAGCTGTCAATGTTCTTATAAAGAAAATACCACGAAGGATATTTCACTTTTGCATAAAGAATGCTTCATTTCGAGTTATTGATCAGTCATTAGTAGAGCACAATAGTCTGTAAGTACATAAAAATGGATACACATCAGAGGTCTTTGAATTTCTTGTGGACGTACGATACACGCTGGAAGTTCCAGGATAATCTGCACAGGATATAATAATGAAGTAGAAAAACTTAACTTCATATGAAACAATAAGAATATGAAAAAGTGAAACTAGGTAAACAGAAAATGTTACTTATTGATCATGGCGCCCAATGTCATACTATACCTTTATGTGACTCAAAGTCAAGTTGAAAGCCTTCAAAGAAGTTTGTGATAGACCACAGTTTATGTCCGATCCCAAGAACAGAAACTGAAGGACGAAACTACAAAGGACATCTTCAGGAAAAAATCAGCGACACCAGGCAATATCCCCATAAGAACCTACGTGGAATAACACTGGAACTCTTTGAAAGCTGTGTGGAGGGAAACCTGCATAACCGTGTTAAGAAGGAAGAAAAAGCAAGACAAAGAGTGGATCTCGGCGGATACACAGAGGTTGATAGAGGAGAGAAAGATGGTGAACAAAGATGTGAAGAAGAGTGTACAGAAAGACAAAAGACACTTCTACGACACATCAGCAACTGAAGCAGAACAGGCTGCTAGTAGGAGAGACCTGACAAAACTATATCAAATAACGAAATTACTATCTAGGAAGAGACCAGCGGACATGCTCACACAACTACTGCAGAAGGTTTGTAAGGAACGAGGGAAGGAAGGAAGGAAAGGTATCTGCTCATTGATTGGAAGAACAGCTACCTTGTCAAACTATCAAAGTAGGGTGGGCGACCTAAATCTTTGAAAGAACTGGTGAGAAATCATGCTCCACTCCTGTCCACCCTAAGCAAAAAATTATGCTGCATCATCCTGGAGAGACTGAAAGGTGCTCTGGATTCAAAACTACTACCGGAACAGGCCGACTGGATTCAGGAAGAACAAATCATGTGCGGATCAAATTGCAACTCCACGCTATGCATCATCATAGAACAGAGTAAAGAATGGCAGTCAACTGGATCTCTATTTCAACTTCATCGATTTTGAAAAGAACTTCTACAGCGTCGACCGAAAAGTAGTTTGGCAGCCGATTCAACGCTACGGTCTTAGTGCCACGAACCTTTATCAGCCTCATTCAACAGCTATATGTCGACGCCACATACCAGGTGATTCACAATGGAAAGCTCAGTGACGCCTTCGAAGTGAAGACAGGAGTAAGACGAGGTTCCCACCTACTATCACCGATCATCTTCCTGATTGTGATCGATTGGACTGGATCATGCAACAACCGTAAGGAGAGAGAAGAGGGGTATACGCTGGACTGAGGAAAAGACCCCACAAAAAGATTTGGATTTCGCCTACGATGATTTACGTCTAATGTCGCACAAACTCGAAGATCTACAGGCGAAAACCAACAAGTTGACAGAAGAGGCAAGGCAGCGAAGACGGGACTTCCTTCAAGTGAACGCAGAGAAGACAGAGGTGATGAAGATACTCAACCAACAACATCAACAACAAGCACCAATCACCATCAACGGGAGAAATCTAAAGGAGGTAGTATCTTTCACCCACCACCTAGGCAACATCCCTTCAGTTACAGGCAGTGACACAGATGAGGACATCAAAGACAGCATCGGAAGGACAGCAAGACAGGCCTTCATTAGCCTGAAATCGGTGTGGAGATCTATCGCACTCAGTAGAAAGAACAAGATCGGGATTTTCAACACTAATATCTGGTCAATGCTTCTGTATGGTTCAGAAAATCGGCGTATCACGAAAAGCATTCCCAACAAACTACAGACATTCATCATCAGCTGCCGACTGGGGACATCACGCGTCAGGCCAGGTACTCGAGTGGAATCCGCATGGGAAAAACGAGTTGGGCATGCGAAGGTGACATGTGAGGAAGAAATGAAAGCTTCTGGGCAACCATGGAGCCAGGTTGAAAAGAATGCAGAGAAGAGATTACAATGGAGGCGTGCTACTGAAGCCCTGTGTTCCACTAGAAACCGAAGGGACAAATAATAAAATAATAATGTGACTCAAAAAGAGAAGCAGTTCTGACAATTGTTAGTTGATTGTACCTGGTAGTGATATTTATAGTTTCAGAGTGGACCTACAGGCCTGTCTAATTTGTTTCTTAGTAGATTAGATTTTATGGCAATTGCCTCCTAAATCCTTTTATGTCCTACTTTAGAATAAAAAGTAAATTCATTACTTTAGTATTTGTAGTCCCAATGGATTACACCATCATATTTCAACCTGGTTTCGAAAAAAGATAATTAAATAGAATAAGGAAATTCGATAGCCGGATAAACGATTTACCTGTGAGAAAGCAGATAATAATGCAGTCCAACGAAAATGTTTATGCGTTGCAGATTAAAATTCCAATTATTGTTATAGTACTGTTAAAACTTGAAAATGTGATCTATATGTGAAAATCCATTTATGATAAACAAATTTTAAAATAATTAGCAGATGAGACAGATATCTAAATATAATACTTTGCCTTCGTTATCATTTGTTTATTTCGATGATACCGTGTTATTTACTGGATATGGAATAAGTAATTCTGAATTAGTGTGTGATGTATGCAGTAAAAAAATGTAACATGGAATTACTTCACACTATCTTTGTAAGATTATAGATCTTTAACGAGTTAGACACAAATTTGATGTGCAAATCAATAACATTTCAATGTTGAGAAATGTACAGATTTCTTTAAGCAGGTATCATACATACTGAAGTAATACCAATAGTTAGATAGAAGTAATTTTTCTAAATACGTCAAAAAACTTTTTCCTAATGTATCTGTATCCATATTATAGTGTTAGGATAACTTCGGTTATATTATCACGGAGCTACTATTAAACAATAGTCACTAAAAACTTTAATTTTTCGCTTCATTTGTTGATCAATGAAAATTCACATTCTATATTCATAGATACCTTGTTGTCTGTTCAGTTTCTTCTCAATCATGGTATTTACCGATAAACAGAAGGAATAGCGATAGTCTCTTCACTTCAACCCAAAAATGCTGACCCATTTCTGTCTCAGTTAGAAAATAATTCACAATAAACACATTATTTATTATTCATATTTATTTTTTTCCTTGGGTTCCTAGTGGAAAATAGGGCTTCAGTAGCACGTCTCCATTGCACTCTCTTCTCTACAGTCTTTTCAACCTAGCTCCATGACTGCCCACAAGCTTTTATTTCTTCCTCACATGATTTCCTCCACGTCACACTCGCCGTTTCCAGTTTGGATTCAACTCAAGGGCCTGATGTCCCCAGTCGGCATTCCCAGTGTATGCCCAATCCACCTACATACTCTTCTGTATATTTGTTAAATGATAGGTTCTTGGTTGGTTCGTTACCAGCCAGAGTTCCTTGTTGCTTCTTCTTATTATTCTGGCCATCTAATCTTCAGTATCGAACCAGCGTAGTGAGCTGTTGATGAATATCTGTAGTTTGTTAGACGTGCTTTTCGTGACACGCCAAGTTTCTGAACCATATAGCAGCGCTGACTTGACATTGGTGTTGAAAATCCAGATCTTGTTCTTTAAGCTGAGTGCAGTTGATCTCCACACTGATTTCAGATTAGTGAAATCCTGTCTTGCTCTTCCGACCTTGGTTTTGACACCCTCGTCTGTACCGCCTGCAGCTGAAACGATGCTGCCTACGTAGATGAAACAATGAACACATATTCACTTGTTATATATTACACGTATTAGGATGATACTTTCATTTTGTGTCCTTGGAACACTACTGCTGATGACGTGGTTATAGATTTAGGAAAAGCAGATAGATTAAACGACAAATTTTCAAGATGAGCCTGGAAAATAAGGTAGAATCATTTTTTTAGATATCTTTTTGATTAGGTCTGATAAAGAAGCAATTATCAAACGTCTGCACCAAAAAGCCTTTTGGAGTGGACAGTATACGCACTTCTACAGCTCTGTACTTACATAGTAAAAAAGAAATTCGACGAAATGATCATCGGACACTTTGACGATAAACATCACAAGTAGATATATCTTACCAGAACGGATGAGATATAGAGCTCCTCATATATTCAAATGAATGTGCATCTACAAATTCAACTTCTATGGGGTTAGTTATCTCGGATTCACTTTGAGGTCCCTGCCATTTACTTAAGAAACATCTGGTGGTATGGTTAATGAAATGAGAAACGAAGAATGTTAGTTTCATCAGTCTTGAAGATTTTCCTTAAAACTCACCTATTTATTCTCTCTCGTATCATACAATTTCTTCAACCTTAATATCACTTTTCTATACACTTCTGCTTTGCATGCTGCAGTAAGTGTGGCAACTTGAACAGATCTACTTCTGCCCGAGGGCCAACAAAGGTTTGTTTGTTTTCTCTGTCCAGTCTAATCTAACCGTGCTGTTGACGTCATATCAACCTTCTCAGGAATTCATAAAGTACCTAATAATCAACAAAAAGTAGCACAAATGTCTTCTATAAACCGCTTAAGGTATCAATACTAAGATGATAAAAGCAAAGTTGTTTGTTCAGAAGTAGTTGGTAGATGTCTTCCTTACTATATTTAGAATCTTACATTATTGACTCATAAACACTCACCATCAAATATATATGGTTGAATGAATTGTAATTTTGGTGATTTCATTCTTTAAGAATATTTTTCCGTTTCCAAATAATGCTCATAAGTTACGTCTTTATTCTCCGCAAACTCATTGCCTACTTTAACCTGAATTATTGAGTTTTTGTGTTGTATTCCTCTTAATTCTTGATGGCTAAAAACTTTACAAAATGAAATAAAGTGTTATGCGACTTTTCTCCTAATAGTTCCAACTACATTACACATTCAACAGTTACTCTTTGAATTCATGCAACCAACTGACATGTTTATATTCATATTGTATTCAAGCGTTGGGCTTGATGACATTTTAAAGAAAATTTCATAGTTTCTGATCATACCTTGCAATCAACTCATTCCTCATAAACCACTCAATTGATAGAATTTAATTATTACTTAAATATACTATTTTTATTCATCACACATTAACTACACTGTCCTAACACAGAGTTGATGGAAAGCAGTAAATAATTGAATCTCCTCATTTTTCGTTTATCGCCATCGATATTTATATTGAATAATATATAGTATTATGATAGTTGACACTAAGTTTATTAAGAAGTGACCAGTTGTGATGCTATGATAGTTTATATGAACGTGATGCCAATTCATGTGAATTCCGGTACCCAAAAAAAGTATGACACTCGATGTTTATAGTCAGTTAGTAATATGCTTTCCGCTTTAGTCTCATGCTTTTTGACACTCACCAAAAAATAGCATATGTAATCTTGAAAAGCTTGTTTCCCCCCCCCCCCCCCCAACGACTGGTTTAGTGACGAAGTTCGAGACATAAATACCAAGGTATTCAGATCATGTCTGGTTACATGTGGGGGGTCGTGGGTGCTTACTGCTGAGGAGTCCCTTACTAGGACGAAACAGCTGTCGAGTGCTCCCAGGTTTTCACTGTTTCTCCAACTGATGTCAGCCTTTGATAAGTACAGCATTAAAAATAAAATTCCCATAAAACTAAAACCACATTTATATTTATTCAAAAGTACGGAAGAGTAGAGATTACTAAAAATGACACGAGATTCAGGAATCAGCAGTGCTTGCCGTTATTTCATATCTAAAATGAGTTAGAAGGCACTTTTTTGAGGTACAGTTGTGAATAACAGATTATTTTTATGTCATTCAAGCAGTCACACTCTGTTTGGTCTCGCAACATCATGAATAGAAACATTCTTTTGTAATGCCACCGATTGACAATGCTGAGCTCTTATCGACACACATAAGATGAGTCAAATAGAAGAAAAGCTCCTAGAAAAACTTCTTAATATAATGATGAAACTGTCGAGCCCGATAAAAACAACATCAACATGGATTATAAAAGGCAAAATCTCAACAAGAAAAAGAACACTTACATAAGACTAAGCATAAATTGAGTGAGGAATACAGTTGAAATTGTAAGATGAAAAAGTAGAATAAACAAATAGAAAGGTAGCTTAAAGTTTATTCAGAATGTTGATCGAATTATTTCACTTTCATATGACCATGAAGTGTGTTGAAGATCAAACAACTGCTTAAGTAGTTCTTGTAACCAGTCTAAATGAATACAGGGCCGTCGGAGTACACCATACAAATGTTTTGTGTTTAGCATACGTGTAGCATAAGTAAAAAATTTGCTTAAAAATTTATCTGTTATTTCCTTCGGTGGAGTCTTTTGAAATGTTAGTGGTATACTATCCAATTTGGTCAATAGATCATTGAAAAGCAGCTTTTGAAACCTTCCGATCGACTTCATTTGGATGTGTTGGCTACAATGACATTGTTTACCAATTTTAGTTAAGTTACTTTCTTGATTCAAGAATGGTGCTGCTACATTGGAAACAATAGCCCCTGAACATGTAAAACACTTTAATTGGAAATTCATAATACCATCACCAATGATACTTTTACTGTTGTTCATGGCTGACCAGTCATCTAAACATGCTTGACACTTACAATGAAAATGATACTGCGACCATAATGAGTTTTGACGTTCTTTTAACGAGTGTACTGCATAATGTAGACCGTAATTGCCATAGATCATTTCACCACATTTGATTGGTCTAAGCGAGTATACTGCGCATCGAAATTCACTCTCAGTGACATTAGTAACATTTGGATCACATGAATGATTGATCAATGATAGGACTGGATACAGACAAGTAGATATTTCAACTGACGATAACTTGTTTAAATCTATGCCAGGTATGGTGGGTCGTATACCAGCATTTTCTGATAAGATATACTCAGGCACTGACAGTGAATGACCATTCGATGAGATACATTGTAGATGATGTAGCATACATGTTGATGCCCATATAAATGGAAGGGAAGTAGAAGTAGGTTGGTCATTTTCGAGAACATTTTCTTCCCGTTGGATTGGATAACCGCCAGCCTTAAGAAGACGTAGAATTGAGGGAGGAACAGACCAGATAGAAAATTGATTGAAAAAAACGCAATTAAGGTTAATCACTGTCAATTCGCTAAACGTTTTAAAAGGAAGTTCAATATCATTAGACCAACTGTACTGCAAGTCAATAATGATTAGACAGTCAGTTGGAAGTTTTCTAGGCACTCAGATGATTTCAAGACAGTTGTCATTATAGATCGATTTCCGCTATGGAAATACCGAAAACCAGCGAGCACTGCGTAGTCGCATCGTCCTAGTTCGAGAATTCTCTAGCTTATGTTGTTCTATGATTAAAACCGTTATGAAATAGACTAACTTCAACAAACCTCCGAAATTCAATAGCAATTTAATGTTGATTGATATAAGAGTAAAACTTGTGCACTGTGGTAAAATTTAATTCCATTTTAATTGATTTTTTAGATTTATCACATAGTATAACAGTGTTGCCTACTGGATTACGTTTCGGACATAATTTATTGTCCATAGTTATATCAAGATAACTACACAATTTTGAGATATCCTTTATATAGCCCTAATTTCCTTGTCTCTTTGTGAGATGGGTAGTAAGATTTTCCATATTATCCGTAACAGGCGCTGAGTCATTCCTGTTACATGTGTTAGGTGTTGATTCGATAAACAAAGACTCAGTTATTAATATAATTGTAAAACTCGGGCACTGTGGTAGAATGTAATTCCATATTAGATTTGTTTATTTGATATATAGCGCACAGTGATACAGTATTATTTACTTGATTACATTTCGAGCATAAATTATTGCTCAGTTATTAAATGTCCCTCTCCAGCCTGTTACATTAGTTTTAAGAATTTTCACCTTCTCCCATCCTATTGTGTAGTTGTGTGTAATCGCATGCATAGCTATGGCTGAGCTTTTTTCTAAATTCCTTACCTTACTAGGATCTACCAATTTTGACCTAGCTAAGTTTTTGTGTTCGGATAGCCTAATTGACCCTGGTCGACTACTTTTACCTTCGCAGTCGTTGCAAGGGTTTTAGTAAACGAAGTTATTCTGCTTAATTGGGTCAATAGGATCTTTTAACCTACAAAGCTTATTTCAAAGTGAGTTTGTAGATATGAATACCACTCTAATCCCAGCCTTATTGAGAATCTTATGTAGTGTTTCTGAGGTGCCTTTTTTGTATGGTAATACTATGGAGGTTTTGAATTCCCTATTCACAGTATTGCCGCTAATATTATTAACATCATTATTACTGTTATTGATGTTGTTATTACTACTATTAATAGCTGTGTTACTGATATTTTCCCTACAATTCCTAAGGAGCTTACCAATTAATTTGGGAGGGTAATTGTTGATGATTAAGGCATTTTTAATGTATCCGGTTTCTTGTTTTAGATCTTCTGTTTCACTTGTAAGTTTTTTGGCCCTGTTACTTAGACACTCTACTAAGCCAACTTTAACTGACATAGGGTGAGACGATTTGAAGTCTAAGTAACGGTTTGAATGTGAAGGTTTTCTGTAGACACTGGTGTCTAAACTCCCATCTGGTTTCCGTTTTATTCGGCAATTCAACATCGCTAATTCTCCTTCGGTGTTTTCTAATTCATAGGTGAATTGGATTGCATTAACTACTGAAGTTATATGAGTGAAGAAATTATGTACATGTTCCAATTTCAACACTAAACATGTCGTCTACATAGAGAAACCATATTTTTGGAGCCGGACTTAATCCTTCTACGGCCATCCGTTCCCAGCTATCCATAAACATATCAGCCACAATAGGGGATATTGGTGATCCCATGGCAATTCCTTTTAATTGTTTGTATATTTTATTATGAAACCTAAATATTATGGAAGTTAGGCATAACTGTACTCCTAGCATAATATCATCTACTGATACCTTAGTTTGATGTTGACTAGGCAATTACTTCACAGTGAATTTCCTTGAGTTTGGACAACAAGCTGTGGTGTGTAGGATCGAACAAGCTGAGTGTGAGAACACATTTTATACCTTGTCTTATAATACCGTGTGAATGCATCACCTTACATTGCTTCACTGTCTTGAGAACCAAACTTCAAGTCAAAGGTTTGGGAGTGGTCTATTAAGGCAACAATTTGGTTCGGTCTAGGCTTTTAGGCAGTACTACAGTCATCATACAGGTCATGAGATTATACTGGAACAAAAGAATTCAATGAATTGCCTGAACTTTCACATATGCAACCTAACCTGCATTGCAAACACCAAACACAACAGCCTAAATCCATTTCATAATTGTTAGTTTTACATATGAACTAGTGTTTTCCCCTTAACATTTTCAAATTTGTACTTTCACATTCTTGTTCCACTCAGCTACCTGTCACATTAAAATACTTGTATGCATGGACCGTCTTCAGTCACTAAACAATTGCTTTCATAAAGTTGCAAAACAATTTAATATTTGATACAACAATGGTGTAAATGCTCTCTGGTTACACTGACTGACTTCAATGTTCGGACCTTGAGTTAGATCAGACAGCAGACAGGTTTAGGTAGGATTCTCAAAGAAAATTGCCATCGATATATGTTGTATTTCAGAGACCTGCATAAGAGACTACACGTGAGCTGCTTCGGATAACTTGCCCATCTGTTAGCTCAAAAAGTGTGTTCACCGCAAAGTTGTTTGCAGACAATGTGGTATGAGGAGCCGATTTTCTTGTCCTCGCACAAAGTAGTAGAGTTGAAGTTGCATCAGTCGACTAGATCATTATCAACAGCCGTTTGCGTGATGTTAGGATAAAACATAACTGGCGGAGGAAACAATGTATCTTTATCGTCTCTGGCTATGCCCGACTAACTGCAGCTCGGATGAAAGTGTGGATGAACTCTACCGTTAAGTGAGTGATCTATAAAAATAAACATGCTCAACAGATATCGCAGTGCCAGCTGGGGACTGGAATGTCCAGCGTCTAGGATCATAGGAAGGCTGTTTAAGTGGTTAATGAGGGCTAGTCAGCTGCAGCTTTGTGCAGATCACAGCACATCCGTGCTACCTGCTATTTCCCTTCTTTTAATCAAGTATAGACTCAAAAGATCATATCACAGTCAGTTACAGATGCCATGGGTATGCTTAGGACTACAAAACGTTCTAGAGGACCTTACTAGACTCTGATCACGCTCTTGCGTACGCTAAGGTCATTTTGCATTTTGGGGGTTATCAAAGTCATCAGCCAAAACGAGTATACAAACTCAAACCAGTTGCGCCTAGTATTGCAACTAAATACTGAACCGAGCTAGATTCAAGACTGACTATGGAACCTGAACAAGTTGTAGATTGGCATTGGCACCATATACTTGATAGTATGAAAACGGTGAGTAAAGTCACTTTTGGCTTCGTAGAGAGTTCAGTGAATAAATATTGAGTTTATTTGAGCTCCTTCATACTTCCTGTTTCTCATCTATTTCAGATAATGAGTACAATGGTATGCACAAGTCCCTTATGCAACAGACAGATCAACAAGCATTTACGTAAGGATTCCGAGACTTGGCGGTCAGAAACCGTGAATGAAGTGGAAGCAGCAGATGCATCTAACAATAATCAGAGGTTTTTCCAGCTCATCCGACCCACTAATAGAAAGAAAAAAGACTAGGGTCAGGAAGATGATCTGTGAAGTAGAAACCACACTGGTTCACTTTTTTACACACCTGGAAGGCTGGATGGAGGAATTCGAAGTGTGATTAATCTAGTCTGGTGCTCCAGCAACATAAATTTTAGTGTCTTGTACTCCCTGGATAGAAACCACCATATTGCTTAACGAAGCAGAGTTCGTAAGGCACTTGGTCAGACAGACTAGGTTTTCTGTTGCTTTAGTATGAACCATTGTAGTACCCATCTTGTAAAAAGGTTTATGTAATGAGTGTGATAATCATCGGTGTATCAGTCTGCTACTAGTAGCTTTTACAGTGTTGCCTAGGTGACTTGTCTTACATGATTAACTTTGCAATGGACATGTTGCTCAATCGCTTTTTCGATGTTATGACGGGACATTCACTCTTAACTAGGTTGTGGAACACAGGCACACTAACCAAAACCCGGGATTGGTTGTTTTTCTTAACCTGAAGGCAATAGTCGACTCTTTCAATCATGAAGTGTTATGGTAGTGTCTGACTGATGAAGCCTGGCGTGATATTCTGTATACTGTATAAAAAACGGTAAAAACAGCTAGTAATTTGCATCTAAAGGTTAGCAAGCGTCAGTGGATTTCCAGAACCTCATATGAATTGATTGATGGGAGATAACTGATTCCAGCTGACCCTAAACACGATGAAGAGAGAAATCAGCTCAAACGTAAGATGACCAAGCGTCTTCGCGTAAACCGTGAACAGTGGTAGTTGGCGAAAGCAAAAGAAACGAAGAAGGTAGCAGCGTTGGGTAAAAGTCGGTAACTACTTAGGCGTATTAGGGACACTGGCAAGAACAAGACGATGGTGAGCAAAACCGAAAAGGATGGAACGCTGATAACCTCCCACAACAGGAGGGTATAAAGTTGAGTAAAACAGTCTTGACAGCAACGCTTCAGTTGCCCAATATCCAGCCTGAAACTGAACTGGATGTAGATGTCAGTCCTCCAACTATCATCGAGGTACAGAAGGCTGTTTCGAACCTGAAATGATGCAGAGCAGCAGGATTTGACAGTTTACGGCCCGAAGTTTTCAAGGATGGAGGTGAAAAATTGGTAATTAAAGTGACAGAGGTAGTAGCAAGTGTATGGGAATCAGTGGTAAACCATTCAACTGGCCAACTTCACTGACCGTTTTAGTTTGTAAGAAAGGGTAATTTTCTTGTGACAACCATAGAGGAATCAGTTTAACTAATCTCATTTCCAAGATCCTAGGGTGGGTCCGTATTTATCCGACGCCTAACTGGAGCTCAGGAATAGTAAACTTGAGAGAACCAGGCAGGTGTCAGACTTGGGGTCTGAGTGTAGCTACCCCATTTTCACACTCCAACAAGTCTTGGAAGACAGACATATTTACCGGCAACCAAAACTTGCCAAATGTCTTAACCCGAAGGCGGTATTCGAATCTACCGACTGTGAGGTATCGTGGCAGAATCAGGCTGTGAAAGGAGTACCAAGCGAGTACGTAACGCTAATCAAAGCTTTCTACACGAACTCACGCAGCCATGTAAGGGATCATGGAGGATTGTCACCTGAATTAACGATATCTGTTGGTGTCCACCAGAGATGCTCTCTGTTATTGTTGCTGTTTGTGGTCCTCGAGATGACAGGAATTAGTGATTGGAGACCCTTAGTGATATGGTTGAAAATCAGTCACATTAGCGCAGATGTGTTCACTCTTTGACGTCTTTCGAAGCTTGAATGTTTCAACTAACATTGATTTTCACATTCTTTCCATTCCCATACACTATTGTCTACTTTGATGTCAGACTTTTTCTATCTTCTTTATCATGCTTCTGTGCACAGTTCTACGCTGATTTTGTCATTTGAGTTCTCAAACATTTTAACAACTATAAACTTTCAATATTGGCATTTCGAAGGTTTAAACCAGATGTACATTTCAAGCAGCATGTGAATTCTTACTATTTAAAAGTAACTCCTCTCCAATGTTCATTATCTACTTCATTTGCACAAACCATCACTTCTAAAGTTTCCTTAACATTTCACTCTAAGAACAGCTATCTCTCCTTTTTTAAAACAACTGTCTGAATTGAGACGCCTGTTCGAATTTTATGTTGAAGACCAGGCTTCATATATGGTAACTGGAATATCACACTATTCAAGCAGGCTTTTTTTCTCAAACGCATATACAAGATCCAAGTATGATTATTCAGTCAATTGCCTTTGTTTGGTAGGATCAGCGACGAAGATTCACCAGTGAATGTCAGGGGAATCACAGATTAGTTTCAATGGGTCTGCACATGCAGAGATAATGATAAATCAAGTGATAGATAGCCCACCATTTAATTGGATGGTATTCGCCTGTATGGTATCTATTTGAGGAGTTGTGCAAGAATTCAGAAAGGACGTGATACAATGCGATATTTTTTTGCACTCTTCACTAAAACACATAAATAAATTTTAAATGAAATAGAGTCTCGATTGTACCATTAAATTAACAATCTATGAATAGTGATAAGAAAAAAAACTTACTTCAAGACAAAGTGTTAGGTATACAGCTGCTACACAACGCTGCCATAGGTCACCAGTTTTACGTTTATCCGAATTGGTAGCAAGCCAACCAATAGATGTATAATCATCCCAGTCACTTTGTGGAACAACACGACGACCAGTAAAGGATAGCAATCCTTCATCTTGTTTTGAACCAACTTTACAGGCTAGCTTATTTAAAGAGGTCTAAAGTAAATTAACAAAAAGAGGTTCGTGTACTTGATAGTGAGCAGTCATATACTATCTGGTCTTTAATCATGACTGAATTCTACTGATCATGCAACTGAATCCAATGAAAGGCGTTTGCAGATGATTATGAAGAAGTTCGGTACTTAGGATTCATTTTAAATGACAGTTACCAGCAATATATTTGTGATGACAAACTTGAAGGAGCTCATGGTTCCTCAGCGATTTGCATCCACATCACACTGTACAAAGGTCAGCACTGAGCTACAGCCTAAATGATAACAAAAGCTATGTCTGCAAGTAAGCATCCAACTACCTAATCAAGAGGCTGGTGACAACATTCAACTTATAAACTGTGAGTTAAGAGTTCAAATCTAGCTCCACTAAATGAAACAGGAGTACCACGTGGCATCACCATTCTTAGGAAGAAGCATCATAGCCAATTACAGTGATAACAAGACGTGTTTTCCATACTACACTGCCAGGTACTTATAAGAATAATAATTAAAATATTGATAGTAAGTCTTTCGGGTTTCGATTTTCAGTTACAACGTGTGAAGTTCTAATGTTGAACTAGACATCGTCGTTAGTGAAATTCGAACTTATGAATGAATTGAGGAATATTATGGCAACCATAGTTCGCATAAGTTATTTGCAATAATACCTCAACCAGATATTCTCAAATGACTGCTAGACTTTGAGCACACAACCTTACTCAATATCACGTACCTGCACAGAATTTATTGCAATGAATGAGGTTGCATAAAAAGCATCGATCAACTGAAGCAAATATCATCTTATGCAGTAAGAATATGGTTCAAGTAAAGACTGTGATACTAAGTGTATACTTGTTATATAGTGCTATACAGTCTGAAGATATTTTAGGTGAACCCAAGTATTTACTTCTTTTCGGTTTGCCGTTCCCTAGTGGTGGTTAGAAGTTATAAAATGACTTTTGAACCCACGTTGAACATACTGGATAATATACGGTTATCAGAAGAATATATCTATGTTTCTGCATAAGTTAATGAACACAACAGTGTGAACTATCTTAGTGGAACTAATATTTATACTTATATGCCAATTGGGGTACTATTAAGAATGAAAAATTGTTATAAACAGAGTTCAGATAGTTCATCAGGATCTAATGCATTGTTTTTTGGATGGTGTGAAGCGTTTTTTCGATCGAAGTCTAGCAATAAACAGTTGGGAGTTGTCCGAGATTATACCAAATATCTAAAACTGTTACATTTATTTACGACTAAGTACGTCCTATACAAACAGTGAAGCATTTGAGAAATGACATCTAGAATTCTACTTACTGAGGTGGAGAGGCATAAAAAAAAGACTCGCAACTTTTATGGTTAACTTATTCATAGTTACATAGATGTGAAAAACAGCTACCGTGGGGAAATTTTACGACTATTCAGTGAAATAGTTGGATCGACAGTATCCAAGACCATGACTAAATAAATATGAAAGGGTCTGTAGGTTGTCCAGTGAAGTTATACACTTTCACCATGTGATGTGAACAAGATTTATTCTGCACGCCATCAAAAAAGCATCGCTTCTGAGAGAACTGTAAAAGTTGATATAGAAACGTTCAGTGAACGGGGTTAGCAAACAAGAAACGACAATAAATGATCAATGAATGATCTTAGTCAACCGAATAAAGACTAACTTTTAAGGACATTAAAAGATGCCGGTTGGATATGTCGATAATAGTCATCTGAGATGATAATCTTTGTCTGTGACCTAGTAAACACCAATTGCATACAATGTTTGCTACGTTTTCTCATCCCTTTTCATTTTACTGAAGTTTTTCGAGAATTTTTCAGTTCAAACGGTCACTGAATTGTGTTATGAGACTGTTTCTACTGAACTCATTTAACCGACTATTTTAAACAATCTATCCTTCAAAATAGCAATAGGGAGGAAAAACAGTGACTCTAAAGACTGCTGAGATAACCAGTCAGGTTTCAGTATTCGTGCCGGAAAATTAGTTTTTCATAGCATGGAAAAACGTAATTGATTATTGCAGCAGCTTCTAGGGTGGCACTTAAAGTCACTCGACCAAAAGAGTGCCGTGATCTTAGTTTGGGTAAGATTGACCTAATAGGTTGCCATAAATTAACATCATAGTAGTGATAACAATATTAAATTAATGATAGCAATTGGCATAATAATAATAATAATAATAATAATAATAATAATAATAATAATGGTCAGAAGAAGAGAAACGAGACGAACCTATCTCCTTAACCACTCCGTTACCGGATACATATCCATCATAAGAGGTTATAATATTCGACACTGAATTGATTTAAAGCTTATCACAAAACTTAAAATTACGCAATCCATGTGATAGAAGCTAGTTGAAAGAGAAATAAGCATTCTACGTTATTGGCTGTTATGTGTTGCTACGTGGTCGGAATAATATTAATCGATGGTCCAGTGTAACATTCAGAACAAAAAGTGACACGCCTTTCTACCACATTTCCATGCGCATTGAAATTCTACGTTTAATGACGTAGTTTTACTCGATACATGAAATTCTCACAGTTAGTAACCAGACCTAATGTTTCTGGAGCTTAGTGAAGTAAGAAATGCTTTATGGAGAAAGGGAATCAGGATTATATTCTAACACTTCGAATAATTTAGTGCAACTTTATAGTCATTTACATTTCAGTTCACTATCACTTCACTGCAAAGGAAATCAAAAAACAAGACCATTTTCACCTACCTTGACCAATCTGTTTAAAGTGGTTGGAGAAGTTCTAGCCAAGAGCGCGAAAGCAAGCCATGAGATATTTGGACCGCCAATTATATCATCGTCTGATAGTTTATCGATGAATACCTTCCATTTTTTCATAGATGCTGTCAATCCAGTTGACAGTGACGTATTGCGTAACCGTTTCCAACCAGCATAATCTTCTAAGGTTAACCGATCGACAAGTCCACATTCAAAACAGTGCCAAGGAAGAGAAAGATTACTTATAGGCGATATTGTGTCCAAAGACCATACTGGATCCCAAGCAGCTTGTTCGCATGCTTCACTACAAAACCCCACCTCGGAAAATGCATCATAGCAAAAAATTATTATCATTACGGTAACAAAAGTTATTCATGTCACAAAACAATTATCAAGTACAACGAAGACGTATTAACACAAATTTTAAACGAGATTTGGATAAAGTCATCCGACTGATGACGTGGTGTTCACTACTGTTTAAATTTACAGGCGATAATGCAATAGTGTTAAAGTTAGTCATAGTAGGAGGCTGTGGGTACGCTCTATATTCATACATTTTTTAAACATCACTATCTCTTATGGTTGGAAACTAGGCAAAAGACAATAGAAATTATAATAGTAGATCAGATGGTCTCACACCCAACCTTTATCTTAGGTTCTGAAATCATATTGCCATATAACGTTTATTGCTCCTTGTTTTTACCTTATAAGCTTTCATGAATGTGAACATGACAGTTACTTTCATTTTGCCGGGGTTACCTTCTTTCTGACTTCTACGTCAGAATGGTACGCAATTGTACTAGGCTTTTTAATGTTCATACTTGCCCGCCTTTCTTACTTTTTGTGGCTCAAATTGCTTCTATAAGGCAAAACTAGACTGTGATGAATATCATGGAGCAAAAATGTTCAATTTTAGTTTTGTCAACAGCACACTATACTTTTGGGATTTTCGTCAGTTTACAACTCGCGTACTCCAACTGTACAAAACAAGGACTCGGTAATCTTGCAGTAACAATTGAAGGAGACGAGAAGAATCTCTTCATTTTCGAAGGAATCCAGTATCAACATGATATAGTAGACTCAAATGCAGACAAAAACTGTCACTATGCAAATCTCCTGTAACTGAATACGTAGTGTAATCCAGTAATTTAAGTATTCAACCAATCGGTCATATTTTAGAACGGCTCAGCTGTTTGCAAACAGCTAACTGATGGGTATAATCTTAAGTGCTAGTGTAATTCCTTCTAAAAAGGTATAAAAGGTGAAAACTAAGCCAGGTGACACCAAACACTACGATGGACTACATTAGTATGATATGTTTGGAGGTCATCAGTAAAAAGCTCAGCAGGTCTAAGTTCGTAGTGTCAACTGACAAAGAAAGAGAGACCTAAAATCTGATTAAGTATATCTCTGAGCAAAATATTGTAGTTAATTTAAAAGACAAGTTTTATTCCGACCGGTTAATTGTTGCTACATGTTATTTCATTGAAGTCATCATCGATCAACTGTTAACTGTTTTGCTCATTTTGTAGCCTAAATACCTTAGTTGATTTATGTACGTGTTATTCAGCTGTATAAACGCAGCAGCTGTAGATTCAAAAGACTGGTGATAAAGCGATTGCGAATCTATTTTTTATTATTCAATTTAGTCAGTGACTCATGAGCTTCGGAATGGCAAAGGCAAGTGTGACTACATTCTGACAGTGAGGCATACAAAAAGACACGATCATGTGACAGTGTTAAGGTTATATTCACAGCTATCTGAAACAAACCAAGGGATGTAAAACCTATGCAGTGGGTTTTTTCAGCTGTATATATCTTCTGTAATTATGTAAACACGCAGCCAAAACGGTCACTAACAGAAGTTGAACGATTGACAGAGATGGAAGGTTACCAGCAATCAGCATGCTATTCAGTGTTTAAAACAGTTTAGGAAGTTTTAATAAACAATGATGAGAAACCAACACCTTATCTAATGACATGAACTACAAAGATTTGAAATAAATCGCTTCAAACAGGAAATGACACACATACAAAACAGCACAGTATATCAGGGAAGAGTTAATTTAGTGTTGACAGTTCGGAAATTTAACAATCATAAATAGTTAAAGCTATCCAAACTGAAAGTCCATGGGTAAAAATGCTTAAAATGGAATACAAACTAAACAATTCACTACCTGAGTACAATTACGGCATGGTATAAGATTGATACAGCGTTTAGAACAACGATAACAATTGAACAGTAGTCTATCACTTTGAAGTCGACAAGAATATGGCGTATCCCTGATGAGTAATTCACCTATTAGAAAAGAAATTCAGTAAAATGTTGATCTCATTACAACAATAATCAAGTCATTAAAAAATTCAGTTAGAAAACAACTTTTTCGACTAGTTAGATATTTGGAGGCAATGATAGATCTTTAATCCAGCTTGTTATAGGTCATCTAGAATCCCGAAAAACTCTATCGTATACTTCAATCAGAAGGGCTGCGGATATGCAAATGGTTAAACCAACAATGATCTTGTGCAATAATGAGAGGTTTTCACATAAATTAAAAACTCACGCCAACGATCCTGGAAGTGGGAAGTTATTTACTTCGAATTCTGGTTAGTATACCTTGTTGTTTATTTACCCGAATTAAAGTCAACTAGAGATCAATCTATATGATGGCCTGCATATTCATGATACTCGAAACATTATAGATCTCTTCTAAGCTTCCTAGGCTAATCCTAGTCAAGAGTGAATAGATGTTCCCAAAAACAATATATTCATAAATGCTTTGGTTCATGATGAAGACCATTTTTCAATCCTGTCGGTGTTGCTTGAGTGCGAAGGTATATTTCATCATACTTATATCTAGATTAACTACAATTTAGACTGGTGATTGAATAGGTACCTTACTTCATGACTTTGACATGATTGATTCACTTTGAAAAACCAGTGAATACCGACCCTCCATCATCAAATCAAACTGCAAGCTTAGTGACAGTATATATTTTCCAATTCCATTAATCACAAACTGAAGAACCAGATATCAATGAAATAAAACAATGACTGATATGAAAATATGATCAAGTTAAAACAACTATTCTCTTATCAAGATATGTATCAGCGAAGAAATATATTTTTTTCAACGACTTCATGATCAAGTTGTACAGTCGTATTTATAATCGATAAAATAACACAAATGGACTAAAACGTTGTTCAGTAAATATACAAAATATATAAATGTTGGTGGTGGGATTTGCTCATGTGTAAGAAATAGAAAATAGATCACTGAATAAGGAATGAAATGAAAACATGTGGGTTAAGTGCTGTCAAAGAAGAGTAAAATGGCGATAATGACTGGGTTATTGGGTCAATGAATAAGGAAGGAATTGAAATTAAATAGCAAAATATGAGTCAAATGCTGTCATTGAAGTGTGAAGTGGTGACAATGATGATAATAAAAGTGAAGTACATACAGTGAAGTGAAATGAAACTGATAAAATAACCAGAGTAGAGGAAGTGATTTGATAAAACTTGGAATGCAAAGTTTCGGTTATTGTTCATGCATAGCTAATGCTTCAGCTATGAATAAGTGGTGGAAACGTAGACCTTTGGAGTAGTTCAATCTATGTAGATTACCTTAAAGGATGAATCTCAAGGAACTGAATGACCTAACTCTAGTAGGTGTTCGCATATGAATGAAGTTTTTTTCGCTCGACTTTGATAAGCGTTTTCAAAGGGCCCACCTACAATGCCCAATATTCTTTGATCTTCACATAAAAAATCGTTAGTCAAGGGTAATTAGAAGGTTAGAAGACAGTCACTGAATTTCTACCAATAAACGTAAGATAGCGCTTTCATCCAGTCTAACAGTCTGTGAGTAGATTTTGCTCATAGCATTAGTCACCTTGACCATCTGACCTTCTTCCTAATGCTTGAAATAACCAGCAAAAAGCAGTGAGCCAATCGGATCAAATACAGAGTGGTGGGACATCAGGTATATCTTTGAAGATAGGTAGGAGGGAAGTGGGCAGATCAGTAAGGGGCTTTTGAATGAGGTTGTATACGCTCAGCTGGTTAGATTATTCAGAAAACTTTAATTATTACTGCAGGCACAGACATATTTAGGCACAAACTCTGAGAGAAATGAAACTATAAAAATTCTGCCAGGAAGTTTCAGTGTAGTGAAAAAATGAGACCAGAGAAGTTCGCGGTTTACAGAACCTCATTCCTCAGACGAAGTTAATTTATCTAACAGGACAGTGGTTTAACTAACCAACCTGTTAACTACTATAGTAACAGACAGGTATTCCTTCGTGCTAACGCTGCATTATGAGGTTTTAACAATGTTTAGAAAAGGCAACTTAACAATACATTGAGTTAGACTGAATTTAGTTATTGAAACTAAGCATAAAAAATCAGTTTTAGGAAATATTTGAGATAGACAAGTTGAAAAATTTATCAGCTAAGCTTAGGAATATAAGAAAACTTTCTATCAATGTTTATTCTTAGCTATTGACGAAATAACCCATTCACTTTGAAGCACTAAACATTTTCTTCCCATTTTCAGCTAATGCAAATATTACGTGTACTTGATTTAAAACGGTAACCTAATAAAATTTGATTATATCATAGGATGGCACGAAGGCTTTCACCAAAGCCTTCGTGGAGCGTTACGAAAGGGATTTCCAATAAACTACAGACATTCATCAACAACTGCTTACGCTGACTCGTTACTGAAGATCAGATGGCCAGAAAGAATAAGCAACAAGGAGCTCTGGCTGGTAACGAACCAACCAACAACCTATCACACAACAAATATGCAGAAGGAAGTGGAGATGGATTGGATTGGGCATACACTGAGAAGGCCGACTGGGGACATCACGCGTCAGGCCAGTAGCTCGAGTGGAATCCCCATGGGAAGCGACGAGTTGGACGTCCGAGCGTGACATGGAGGAGATCGTGTGAGGAGGAAATGAGAGCTTGTGGGCTGTCGTGGAGCCAGGTTTAAAAGATTTCAGAGAACAGAGTTCACTGGAGACGTGCTACTGAAGCCCTATGTTCCATAATAATAATAATAATAATAATAATAATAATAATAATAATAATAATAATAATAGGATGGCACGAATGAAAAATGGCATCATGTTGTAAATTACAGAATACTGTGCGATCCTGCTCAACTCACCAAATTGCTTTCCCAATGACAAAACAAATGCCGGAAAATATGCCACTAACTAAGAATTCGTAGAAAATAATGACACAAAAGGATGTGTAAATATTTGGTCGGTTTCAAATCTTTAGTTGCAGTCAGTAGAAAAACATAGATCTAGGTTTTGTAATTTTCATCTATCCGTTAGAAAATGGTACTAACAACGTCAATAAAACTCAGTCTACATATGCCATTTTAGCCTATGCCCTTAAACACTGGTCAGAAACATTAACACTAGGCCATTTGGACTGCGGCGAACCAGCTGAGCGTGAATTTGAAGGAAATAATCAGTCTTATCTAGGCTGCAGTGCAATGCAAATCAGCAGCCACTAATATAGTATTATGCACTCAATGACATGTCACATAGTGTGTGTGGAGTGGATACTACATCGTTGTCCAGATGTTTGAAGGGTAGGCAATATTTGAAACTGGTTGAGAGGATAATGCCTATATTTACGACAGCAAATTGACCATTTTCATTTCACGTAGCTAAGAGAGTACGTTTTATTCCTTGGTAGATACAAATTAAAAATAACGAAAACAGAATAATACTGCTCAACACGTAGTGATCAATTAATGTATGCAGGATGATTTTTTCCAGGAAATAGTCCTAGTTTATAATCATGTTTAAGGTAGTACTTAGAAGCTATTCAGATCAACGTAGGTATTATGAGGTTTGAACCTATGACACGAGAGTCGACAACCTAGTGGTATTTGTTCAAAGCAAATCATAAGAAGCAGGGTTTGATCATCGATGGGACGTGTAAGCTTTTTTGAGGAGACGTTTTCTTTGGAAATATGATCTAGTGGCAATAAGCATTAAAGCTGAAACACTTCACGGAAACATTTCAGACATCAAGACCAACTTCCTGTAAGAGAAAATTACGCGCATGAAATAGTTGTAAAGTGGCGAAGAATTGAAATCTTGATCCGTTGAGGGCTGAACGAAGTTTATCGATCACGTCTGAAACGTGCCTACGGTTACAAAAACAGAGACTCCTAAATAGCCTGGATTTCTATAACTATCATTATATGTAAACAAAGGTAGTAACAACAGTTAATTGAAATAAATATACACACAGGGTCTAACCTGGTTCAATTGTTCTTGCCGCGACAATATGCCAACCGAATTCTTCATTCCAGTTCAATATAACTGCTGGTGGATTTTGAACATGAAGAGGATAAAAAATTCTTGGATGCAAATTACAATTTTCGTCATTCTTATTACCACCAGCTGAGGTTACATGAATATTTCTAGTTTTATCTTTATTGTTATAGTTCTTTATTGTTAACGTCTTGGCTTCATGTACAAAAAATGGTATACTTGAAGTGTTATTTAATGCGTCTTCTTTTTCTTTTCCTTCATTTTTCTCCGAATTCATACATTTTTCTCTACCGATTCGTATAGCTTCATTCATACTATTATGAATGGTTATGCTTTCTGATTTAATCAACTCTAGACAATTATCGTATTCTTCTAGAGCTTCTTTATTACGTCCAAGTAAGTAGAGACTTTGTGCACGACGTACCAACAAACGAGGACGACGATCAATTGGAAAATTATACTGAATGTAAAGAACGTAACAAAAAGTTACTGAACATAGAAAGACAAATAGAGAGGCGTAGATGCTAACGGTCATAATTTTTCTTAATTCGATTGCTTAAAAGAACAGTAAGTATCAGATACTGTAAATACTGGAGGGGATAATGAGTGAAACGATGTCTGGCACACTCCAGATTTACTGGGGAGTCTTCTGTGACAAGGTCAATTCCCGTAAAGTCAGACGATGGAAGGGACATCTCTATAAGTACATCTATGATAAAGTTGAATAACAATAAAAATCTTTGACGGACACAAGTTCACGTACACAATTTACCTGACAACTCACCATAGGTTTTAACAAGCTCACCGGTGTTCGAGTATGAGGACTTTAGCAAGGCGATCTACCTGCCAGGCATCCCTTCCAGAGAGAGACTGCAAGAAGAATTCTGAATCGACGGCGTCAAATACTCCCTTCATGTCTCAAAATACTACTAGAGCCAGGAGCCTGTTTCAATATCTGTCGAGGAAGTAAATTTAGTCAACACACGCATAAGCAGGTCGGAAACCTGCCTAGTTTTTTTTTCAGATTCAATTTTCCCGAGCTTCAATTAGGTGTCTTATGGTTATAGAAACTAGAAACTTAGAAACCACATTTACCAGACTGGTTTGTCTATGGCCTTAGGAGGAGGATTTCTCTTTCTTAAAAGTCGGAGCAATCCCTTATTGAAACCACTCAGAGGGGACCGTATCTAATCCCCATAAGCTAGGTAACACTCAAGTCATTTCAACTAATGAGCGTCGACCACCTTAAATACTTCAGGCACTAGTTCATCTGGCCCTGTTACCCTTCCTCGTCTTAGTTTTCTTATGACCTTCTCAACTTCTGCACGAGCTGGAGAGCATACTTCAGCGTTTATTTCCGGATTCGAATGAATTGTAGGCGATCGAAGATCAGATGGGAGTCTGTTGAGCTGTTCCTCAAAGTGTTCCGATCATCGTCCTAGTTGTCTTCCCCACAAAAATGAACCATAGACTTATTCTTCTCATCTATGGTGTGTACTGGAGTTTCTTCTATTCCTTGCTCGCGAGGCCTGCGAGAATGCGTTCACGCGTATCCATTAATTCAGAAGAAGCTGTTGAGATCCTTTGACCATTTCTAAACGTTTTCTGAAAATCAAATACAGTAGGCTAAAGATGGTGCCGGAATTCTTCTGGATGAGTTACAGACCATTTTCTACCAGCTTTACGTTGAAAGTGGCTTTAGTGAACTCATCGTCAGGCTACTTTCAAAATGGTTTTGTCGCTGCAATTTTCCTACGACCATTAAGGTGCAGACATAAAAGTTATGAAACAAACGCGTGATCACTGTCCGAACAAATGCTACAAAAGGAGTGGCACTCTTCCATCGACCCTCTTCAGTAATAACTGGTATATCCGTGTCCTCCATTTAGTTGAAGTCAAAGGCTACGACGCCATAAAATATCTATCTCTAAGTTTGAATTTGTGTTGAGCTGAAATAGGTTGTTTTATGACCATAGGACAACACAACAGGCTACCACTGTTATCCTTTCGCTCGGCTGGGATCCCGATGGTACCACCAAGTTCATTACTGTCTTAGTCTATTCACTTGTGTACTGAAATCACCTGCTAGAAAAATCATATTTATACTTTTGGCTTACAGTAGGAGACTGGGCAGTTTTCAATGTACTATTCAGACAACAGCATACAGGTGACTGCCAACTGGGCTCCAGTCGAGTAGTGCACTTTCTGCCTTAAGACTCAGTGCTATATCTAAAACTGTGAGACTAGAAAAAGTAGCTACCGAATCTACAGGAACTCGGAAAGCAAATTCTGCAAATTCATGTGATTTGGAGCAGGCTGTTGGGAGATTATAGATACTGCTTCATGAACTCGAATCGTTATCAGGGGCTGGATAGCTGGAAGAAATCAAGAATGGCATGAGAATATATACATTAGCCAGTCTTCAGAATATAGTTATCCCAAATAATTTTTGTCTTTGGTTGTTGACATGAACCGTGTAAACTGTCTGACTTGACTTCTAAAATTGTTTGGAACCAATCCCTGCAGATAAGAGTTGGTATGGCTCAAAATCAATCTTATTTGCACGACATTCATTTACAAAAGTGAGATTGTGATTTAGATTGCATTCAGGTCCTACTGATCAGGTATTAAGGTTGAAAGAAAAACCAATGCCAGGAAAAACGTTACAAATAAGATCCTCCGATTTCGCACATCATCTGCACGCAATACTTTTGTTTTAAAAGCGAAAGTTAAAAATAAAGAATATTACAGCAAACAATTTAATAACATGAATACACATAAGCATTGTTACGTTAACAACGTAACGAAAATCAGTAGCTAATGTTAATAAGACAAAAAGTTAAACATACATTAACACCTGAAATACAATTTAATAGATCTTTAGTTCTGTTTAGTATATCTAAAACATTTTCAAGGTCAAATCATCGTAAGATAATGAGTGCATTCTTCTTTCCTTATACAAATACTGATTATTATTCCTTATAAAATATTCTTTTCGGTGATTAATTCTACATTATCTTAAAAGTTATACAGTTGACTTGACAAAACTCTTGATAAACAAGAAGACAAGCGTTAATCTTAAACAATTACATGCGTGCATATTCTTTGGTAAAATTTTTGTTGCATTCACTGTAAAACACTTTTGAACACTATTTTCACACATTCCCTACTAAGTGTTGCTTCGACTGATAGTCACTTAACTTCAGGATTTTGTTTGATGTCAGTCGTCTCCAAATGGTCAGTAAACTGAATTCTTCTACAAACGATATTACGGTGTTCAACACGTCCAGGATAGTGGATTATGTTTCATCAACTTTATTTTTGAATGCCAAATAATGACAATAATAGTCGTATCAATAAATATAATTTAAGATATTTACATCAACAGACTTATATTCTGAGTTATATGGTGTTTATCAAAATTTAAAAATGACAGATGAATAAAGTGGTTTAAAACCTCATGTATTAATTCATTATTCCAAGTTGCTAGTTATATCTATAACACATATCATGATATCAGTAAGCTTTAATATATTTGCAGCATGTTTAGAAAATCGATCATGATATGAATCATGATACGCAGAACTGACTAGTTAATTAGGTTGACTAGCAGCACCTATGAACAAGCATCTACAAAGTTCTTAATCCTCAGTACGAATGATACAACTAGATGGAACTCACTTAAGGAATTCGATCACAGTATTTCTTGAAAACCCAAAAGTTCAGAACAAAAATTATAATCCACTTGACATTAACAACAGCTCCAGGAAATACGTTGATTAGGTGATTGCTGATTAGATAACTTATATATGGCCCAAAAGTGTTCCTTATTGATGTCAGAGCCTTCAAAGTATTTTCCTGTTTAGTAGTACACAATATGAAGCTCTTCTGCTTACCTTATTGAGGTAACTTGTATTCACTGATCTGAACATATGAGTTGTCGTATGAAACAATGAGTGAATCTCACAGCCAGGTTACACTTGGTTATACTAATCCAACTCTCCAAACTGCCAACTGGAGAGGAGAGTCAATAATCTACTCCGATATTGTCACCCAGACGACAACCACAAACACACTGAGTTTTCCAGTGGTTATCATTATGTCCCCAACAGCATCAAAGGCTCTCATGCAATGGGAACCAATCTCTCCAGGATCAGGATCATCACAGCAAGATTCAACTCAAAAGGAAGGAAAGTCACAATCATACAATGCTACACTACTCACCTACAAATAATGTAGATGAAGAGAAGAAGAAGGAATTCTACCGACAACCGCAATCAACACTGGACAAGACCACACTGCAGTTGGCGATATCAAAATTATAATGGGTGGGGCGACATGAATACCAAACTGGGAGCAGACAACACAGGAAGAGAAATAACCATGGGTCGAGAAGCGCTAGGTGACGTGATGAACGACAATGGAGAATTGTTTGCAGAATTCTGTGCATTCAACGATTTGGTGATTGGAGGCACTGTGTTCAAGCACAAGGATATCCACAAAGCGATATGGATTTCACCAGACACCACGACACACTAAAAACCAGATCGACTTTATCTCAATCTCAAGAAAATGGAGACGCAGTCAGCCTAAATGACACAAGGTCAACAAGAGGAGCAGATGTAGGTTCACACCACTCACCATCTAGTGCAAGGAACCTTCAAAATCAAGTTAAAAGCCTTCAAGGAAGCTGGTGATAAAACCAATTCAAGTACAACACTCGGAAACTGAACTGAAGGATGAAACTACAAAGGAGATCTTCACGTCGGCCAGCCATCAAGACAAAATGGGAGATATCGAGGAACATCCCCAAAGAAACCTGTGTGGAAGAACACTGGAAGTCTTTGAAAGCTATGTGGAAAGAAACCTGCACAACCGTATTAGGAAGGAAGAAGAAAGAAGACAAGGATTGGATCTCGACGGATACCTGGAAGCTGATAGAGCAGGGAGAGGAAGATGGTGATGGTGAAGCAGAAGATAAACCAGTGCAAGGATGCTCAACGACAAGAGGAACTGAGCACAGTGCATAAAACACTACACTGGACAAAGAAGTGAAGAAGAGTGCACGCAAAGACAAATTACACTTCTATGAAACACTGGCAAGTGAAGCAGAACACGCTGCAGGTAAGAGGGACACAGACCTGACAACATTGTATCAAATAACCAGGTTGCTATCTAGGAAGAGATCAACACAGATGAAACCAATTATAGATGATGACGGAAATTTAATTAGGAAAGAAGAGAAACAAAGGAAACAATGGACTGACCACTTCAAGAAGTTCTTGAATCGACCACCACCAGCACCAACAACTCGTCCACAAATACCACCTGCAGCCGCTGAACTACAAGTCAACATAAATCCTCCAACAAAAATGGAAGTCCTGAGCTCCATAAACCTACTGAAATGAGGGAAAGCAGCAGGACCAGATGGGATACCGCCAGAACCACTGAGAACAGACACAGAGACAACAGCGGACATGCTCACACCACTATTGTAGAAGGTGTGGAAGGAAGAGAAGGTACCTGGCTAGTGATTGGAAGAAGGGTTACCTTGTCAAACTGCCGAAGAAGGGAGACCTCAGTGTTTGCAAGAACTGGCGCGGAATCACTCTCCTGTCCACCCAAAGCAAGCAAAATATTAAGCCACATCATCCTGGAGAGGCTTAAAGATGCACTGGATTCAAAACTACGACCGGAATAGGCTGGCTGGTTTCAGGAAGTACGAATCATGTGCAGACCAAATTGCTACGCTTCACATCATCATAGAACAGAGCACAGAATGGCAGTCAACTGGATCTCTACCTCAACTTCATCGACTTTGAGAAGGCTTTTGACAGCGTCGACCGAGAAGTAATTTGGAAACTGCTTCATTACTACGGAGTACCGCAAACCTTTATCAATCTCATTCAACAACTATATGAAGACGCCACATGACAAGTAATTCACAATGGGAAGCTCAGTGATGATTTTGAAGTTAAGTGAAGACAGGAGTGAAACAAGGTTGTCTACTATCTCCCATGATATTCCTGATTGCGGTCGACTGGATCATGCAGCAAACAGTAGGCAGCGAGAAGAGGGGGATACGCTGGCTGGACTGCGGAAAAGAACCTAGAAGACTTGGATTTCGCCAGCGATGACTTGTGCCTGATGTCACATAAACTTGAAGATCTACAGGCAAAAACTAACAAGTTGACAGAAGAGGCGAGGCAGCGAAGACGGGACTTCAAGTGAATATAGAGGAGACAGAGGTGATGAAGATACCTCACCAACAACTCCAACAACAACAACAACAGCAACAAACTCCAGTCACCATCAATGGGAGAAACTTAAAGGAAGTAACCTCCTTCACTTATCTAGGAAGCACTGTTTCAACTACAGGCGGCACAGACACAGACAAGGATGTCAAAGTCAGAATCGGAAAAGACAGCAAGACAGGCGTTCATTAGCCTGAAACCAGTGTGGAGATCTTCTGCACTCAGCATATGGAACAAGATCCGGATTTTCAACACAAACCCAGTCAAGTCAGTGCCTCTGTATGGTTCAGAGACTTGGCGCGTCACGAAAAAGGGATTTCCAATAAACTACAGACATTCATCAACAACTGCTTACGCTGACTCGTTACTGAAGATCAGATGGCCAGAAAGAATAAGCAACAAGGAGCTCTGGCTGGTAACGAACCAACCAACAACCTATCACACAACAAATATGCAGAAGGAAGTGGAGATGGATTGGATTGGGCATACACTGAGAAGGCCGACTGGGGACATCACGCGTCAGGCCAGTAGCTCGAGTGGAATCCCCATGGGAAGCGACGAGTTGGACGTCCGAGCGTGACATGGAGGAGATCGTGTGAGGAGGAAATGAGAGCTTGTGGGCTGTCGTGGAGCCAGGTTTAAAAGATTTCAGAGAACAGAGTTCACTGGAGACGTGCTACTGAAGCCCTGTGTTCCATTAGGAACCCAAGGGACTAATAATAATAATATTCTAACAAATAAGTGAGAATTCCGAAAACAGAGATCAACGAAAGGAAACTATACTTAAGATGAGTCAGCAATGTAAATGTATGGGACAAATATGTGTACAGTAACATGCAAGTTAGAGATTAAATGGTTGATCGATCTATTTTTATCTGTATGACCTGCCATTTCAAACTGCTGATCTGTGTTGTTTCTAAAGTTTAGTGTGGTTAGTCAGAATCAATATAGCATCCGGGATTACTGCGTAACGGTTCAAGTTGCCACACCTGGCATTATCACATGAAGATACGAGCTAACACGAAGAAAACTAGAGAAATAGAAATGGCGTGATCAGACGTGATATAGAAGCCATTAAAGGGAAAGAAAACAACGAAATGTGATACAGATGTCGGGATGAAAGTAAGGTTTGCATAAGTCTGTATTCCTGAGATTGATTCCGAATCATATCCAAAGGGCCACTGGGAGGGGGGAAGGTACCTGTGTGGCTGCACCACAGGATAAGACTGTGTACCGTCGTGGTTTTAAAAAGCCTAGATGTGGGTTCAATTCTCTCCTGAAAACCAATGTTTAATTATCTGTTTAAATAACGGGTATATCATTCTCCGAACTTTATCATCTAGAACCTTCAACCGCGGATTTCGGTTGTCACATAGATGTAAACGAGAAAGTTATCATTTACGTATATCGCTGATAGTGTTCACCATATAACTGAGATGTGAATGACTGAATGAACTAGTGATATATCATGATATATCTCACCATAAGATCTGCTCAACGCGAAATCGCAGCAGATAATATTTTATGTCGATATGGAGGGTGTAATAATATGTGCAGTACATATATCTCGGCCACTTTAGTTGATACTGTAGTGGGTGCTACTGATAAGAATGTATATAAGTAGTATGTATTGAGGTCGGAAGGAGTAACAGACAATTATGAGAGACGGGTAAATATTTTGCCCCAGAGAAGCGAAAAAGATGACGTGGCCGTATAAAGAGCAAGAAGAGGAGGTGAAACACAGTGCGTTAACTGATATTTCAATGGAAAGGTTATAATATGCTATCAATAATGTAGTGTCACAATAGAGATTCCTTCTGGGACTCATCCTGCAGTTTTTTCTTTCAATACAGCTTCACAACCTCAAACAACCTGAGGCTGATGCTCATTCTTCGGCGCATTTACATTGACTGTAGTGAATACCATTTAGAGGGACTAATGAAAACTGTTGCATCTGAAATTCGAAGGGTTAAATGGAATTTTCTTTTATAATCAACTGAAAGAACTTGAAAGAACTTAGTTATTAAGCATCCTGATATTCACTGATTCAAAGAAAGCCACAAGGATAAAGTGAACTACTGTAGCATAAATCATGGTCCGAAATTTAAAATTATTCCAATGAGATGTGCTTAACCTGTCAATTTATTACACCTTCCTTAAATAACAACAACCTAACGGTTCGTATTAACCGAACTGAGTTTTTTTTCATTTCAGAGTAGACTATTCATTTTTAAAAGTGAACCTAACGAAGGTTTATATGGTCAACACATTGAAACAGGAAACCTACAATTTTTAAAATACTTTTCACTTTCACTCATAATGATAAATCGACAAAACAATGGAGAAAAACTACTGTTTCTAAAAGGATGAATTCCACATAGGTGATCTGCTTAAACCTTGGGCTACCGAAAATTTTCCACCGAATATATTGTATCTAATTCTTTCCTTTAAATATATACTAATTTTTTAAATATGACTCCTAAACGTGTTATGTACTGTTGCATACTTTTAAAATGGTTTCAAACTACCATTTTTTCAACTAACAAAACGAAAAGAAAACGATACTCTGGTAAGCAATAGGCTTATAGAAGCACAGAAACACAGTTCACTACTACTCCTTGGATAATTATGTAGAATTGCAGATTTTGGCGCCAACTCCATCAACTACCACCACCAAAATTGTGCTGGGTTTTTTATTCATTCACCATTCTACGCCAGACGCCAATGTAACACCGGGTACGTGTTTCACATTATGACTTTCATTACTGTTATCATTAGCACTATTCAAATGCAATAATTGTTTCTCTCGAAAATATTGTACAGGGGATGAATTGGCTGAACTATTAAATGCTGAGAAAAGCTGACAATACGCTTGTTACAGAAGATTGTCACAGACAGCCAATGCAGTTTTTCATCTACAATCGAACATCGTAAAAATCTAAAACCTTTTTTTGATCATAAATCAATGTAAAACTCACTCACTTTTAGCAGGTCACTTTACAAACAGTGTAATGACAATCTCAAATAAATTATTCACGATAAACAAAATAAAGTACTCTAGACATTAGATATGAATAGCGTATAACTATTCTCTTTTTTGTGTTTCGATAAAACACAGATTTCTCTTTATGATTATGACTTTTTAGTTCTGAACATAAATCTGATAAAGTATACAACTGGTTGGTAAGAAATCAATGAACGGATTACATATGATTTATAAAATTATTCAACCAATAATGTGTATTTTTTTTGAGTTCATAGGAGTTTTCTTAGTCCGATAATCTAAACACAGATTTTTACGACGTA